GTTGCACACGATGCTGTGGTAGGTGTGCTTATATATAGCGAATTTGCAGTAGGTGTGTAGCGCCCAGGAGAACCATTTGGTGAATGGAAGGCAGAGGGGATTTCAAGAGTTTCCCCTGTTGAGGAAGCATCCAAACTCGGACATCCATCATGTGCAGACTTGGAAGTAGCAGCATCTGTATTGTTAGTCAGACTTGGACTTCCATCTTGTGCAGACTTGGAAGTAGCAGCATCTGTATTGTTAGTCAGACTTGGACTTCCATCTTGTGCAGACTTGGAAGTAGCAGCATCTGTATAGTTAGTCAGACTTGGACTTCCATCTTGTGCAGACTTGGAAGTAGCAGCATCTGTATAGTTAGTCAGACTTGGACTTCCATCTTGTGCAGACTTGGAAGTAGCAGCATCTGTATAGTTAGTCAGACTTGGACTTCCATCTTGTGCAGACTTGGAAGTAGCAGCATCTGTATTGTTAGTCAGACTTGGACTTCCATCTTGTGCAGACTTGGAAGTAGCAGCATCTGTATTGTTAGTCAGACTTGGACTTCCATCTTGTGCAGACTTGGAAGTAGCAGCATCTGTATTGTTAGTCAGACTTGGACTTCCATCTTGTGCAGACTTGGAAGTAGCAGCATCTGTATAGTTAGTCAGACTTGGACTTCCATCTTGTGCAGACTTGGAAGTAGCAGCATCTGTATTGTTAGTCAGTCTTGGACTTCCATCTTGTGCAGACTTGGAAGTAGCAGCATCTGTATTGTTAGTCAGACTTGGACTTCCATCTTGTGCAGACTTGGAAGTAGCAGCATCTGTATAGTTAGTCAGACTTGGACTTCCATCTTGTGCAGACTTGGAAGTAGCATCATCTGTATTGTTAGTCAGACTTGGACTTCCATCTTGTGCAGACTTGGAAGTAGCAGCATCTGTATTGTTAGTCAGACTTGGACTTCCATCTTGTGCAGACTTGGAAGTAGCAGCATCTGTATAGTTAGTCAGACTTGGACTTCCATCTTGTGCAGACTTGGAAGTAGCAGCATCTGTATAGTTAGTCAGACTTGGACTTCCATCTTGTGCAGACTTGGAAGTAGCATCATCCGTATTGTTAGTCAGACTTGGACTTCCATCTTGTGCAGACTTGGAAGTAGCAGCATCTGTATTGTTAGTCAGACTTGGACTTCCATCTTGTGCAGACTTGGAAGTAGCAGCATCTGTATAGTTAGTCAGACTTGGACTTCCATCTTGTGCAGACTTGGAAGTAGCATCATCCGTATTGTTAGTCAGACTTGGACTTCCATCTTGTGCAGACTTGGAAGTAGCAGCATCTGTATAGTTAGTCAGACTTGGACTTCCATCTTGTGCAGACTTGGAAGTAGCAGCATCTGTATAGTTAGTCAGACTTGGACTTCCATCTTGTGCAGACTTGGAAGTAGCAGCATCTGTATTGTTAGTCAGACTTGGACTTCCATCTTGTGCAGACTTGGAAGTAGCAGCATCTGTATAGTTAGTCAGACTTGGACTTCCATCTTGTGCAGACTTGGAAGTAGCAGCATCTGTATAGTTAGTCAGACTTGGACTTCCATCTTGTGCAGACTTGGAAGTAGCATCATCCGTATTGTTAGTCAGACTTGGACTTCCATCTTGTGCAGACTTGGAAGTAGCAGCATCTGTATTGTTAGTCAGACTTGGACTTCCATCTTGTGCAGACTTGGAAGTAGCAGCATCTGTATTGTTAGTCAGACTTGGACTTCCATCTTGTGCAGACTTGGAAGTAGCAGCATCTGTATAGTTAGTCAGACTTGGACTTCCATCTTGTGCAGACTTGGAAGTAGCATCATCCGTATTGTTAGTCAGACTTGGACTTCCATCTTGTGCAGACTTGGAAGTAGCATCATCCGTATTGTTAGTCAGACTTGGACTTCCATCTTGTGCAGACTTGGAAGTAGCAGCATCTGTATTGTTAGTCAGACTTGGACTTCCATCTTGTGCAGACTTGGAAGTAGCAGCATCTGTATAGTTAGTCAGACTTGGACTTCCATCTTGTGCAGACTTGGAAGTAGCATCATCTGTATTGTTAGTCAGACTTGGACTTCCATCTTGTGCAGACTTGGAAGTAGCAGCATCTGTATTGTTAGTCAGACTTGGACTTCCATCTTGTGCAGACTTGGAAGTAGCAGCATCTGTATAGTTAGTCAGACTTGGACTTCCATCTTGTGCAGACTTGGAAGTAGCATCATCCGTATTGTTAGTCAGACTTGGACTTCCATCTTGTGCAGACTTGGAAGTAGCAGCATCTGTATTGTTAGTCAGACTTGGACTTCCATCTTGTGCAGACTTGGAAGTAGCAGCATCTGTATAGTTAGTCAGACTTGGACTTCCATCTTGTGCAGACTTGGAAGTAGCATCATCCGTATTGTTAGTCAGACTTGGACTTCCATCTTGTGCAGACTTGGAAGTAGCATCATCCGTATTGTTAGTCAGACTTGGACTTCCATCTTGTGCAGACTTGGAAGTAGCAGCATCTGTATTGTTAGTCAGACTTGGACTTCCATCTTGTGCAGACTTGGAAGTAGCAGCATCTGTATTGTTAGTCAGACTTGGACTTCCATCTTGTGCAGACTTGGAAGTAGCAGCATCTGTATAGTTAGTCAGACTTGGACTTCCATCTTGTGCAGACTTGGAAGTAGCAGCATCCGTATAGTTAGTCAGACCTGGACTTCCATCTTGTGCAGACTTGGAAGTAGCAGCATCTGTATTGTTAGTCAGACTTGGACATCCATCTTGTGCAGACTTGGAAGTAGCAGCATCTGTATAGTTAGTCAGACTTGGACTTCCATCTTGTGCAGACTTGGAAGTAGCAGCATCTGTATTGTTAGTCAGACTTGGACTTCCATCTTGTGCAGACTTGGAAGTAGCAGCATCTGTATTGTTAGTCAGACTTGGACTTCCATCTTGTGCAGACTTGGAAGTAGCAGCATCTGTATAGTTAGTCAGACTTGGACTTCCATCTTGTGCAGACTTGGAAGTAGCAGCATCTGTATAGTTAGTCAGACTTGGACTTCCATCTTGTGCAGACTTGGAAGTAGCAGCATCTGTATAGTTAGTCAGACTTGGACTTCCATCGTGTGCAGACTTTGAAGTAGCAGCATCTGTATAGTTAGTCAAACTTGGACTTCCATCTTGTGCAGACTTGGAAGTAACAACAGAGGTATCCTTGATCTCAGCAGAGAACTCAATACCTGTGTGCATGTTCATGTTGTATGTGGCATGTCCGTAGGACGATACAGGATCAAGGCTGCATGACATGTGAATCTTTGAAATGAACGAGCTGTCCTGGACCTCGGCCGAATTAACAAAACCTAATGATGTACCGGACTCTTCTACAATCAACATCGTGGCTAGGTCCTTGTTATTTGACGTTGACACTTCACCACTCCTGATGCTTCTATTGCTACCCCTGCTAGATCTAATATCACTTGACACAGCACCATTGACTTCAGCTGAGCTAGGACTTGAGGTGTCTATGTTGATAGGTGTATTAACACCTACAGATCCGGCAGATTCGTCCTCTGTTTCCTCATCACTGAAGTCAAGGCTAAGTAACGGCACAGTTAGGGTTAGGGTCGGAAACAGAACCTCCTTTGTGTACTCATCCTGCAGCCGCTGGCTTAAAGTCGAGAGAGTGGGCCGGTCAGCTGGGTCCTCAGCCATACACGTGTCAGAAAGGGACAATAAGGCTGAGATGTGGGAGACGCCATGTATCTTCTTCAGGACTCTTCCAAAACTGTATACATCACATGCGGGAGTTGTCTCAACATGAGCACACGCCTCTGGAGCTAGATGTACACACTCCTCCATAGCCCCTTTGTACGTTACCCCTGATTTGTATGACGCTGTTCCCATGTCACAGAACTTGACCGTGGGCAGTGCTCCAGACATGTCCACTAGTATGTTGTCTGACTTGATATCATTAATGAGAACGTCTTTATTGTGGATTTTCTTAAGTCCATTGGCAAGCTGGCACACAATATTCAGCCAGTGTAATCTTGGCACACCTGATTCGCACATAATATCATACAGTGTTTGGCCGGAACCAACATACTCCATCACGATGCTGTAGCAGTCCTCCTCGTTCATCAATAGTCCGTAACAGATAGGGACGCAGCCTGTTGACTCAAGGTACATGGTGATCTTTGCCTCATTAGCGACGGAATCCAGTGTTGTCTTGTCTGTAAAGTGTTCTTTAACCACCACATCTCTACTCAGGCCAGGGGACACCGTCAGCGTTGCTGCATACACCTCTCCGAAAGATCCAGAGCCGATGACAATTTCAGTGAGGCCATCTTGCTCAACCTTGAAGTCGACCATGTTTGAGGGAAGAGTTGGGATCTTGATGTGCCAGAATTCTGAAGACATGCTGAATGAAGGTCCACACGCCCTCTTGAAGACGTACTCAGAAGGAAACGGTTCATTGCTGGCGAGCTTGTCCTGATCGTGGTCAAGAGTGGACATACAGCTGAAGGGATGTCCACCGCGATAAGCTTGTCCGAGAGAGGCACGTGAGGGAGACAAGATGCTCAGGGTAGGAATGTCCAGGACGTCATCCTCATGGCTGAAGTCATCATGCAGGAAAGAATGTGAAGGTTCAGCCCTGAAACAGCAACGCCAAAGTAAGAAGACATGTAACACTCAATTAATCATTATCATCGTATTTACGAGAATATGTGAATGTATTATCTGTCCTTTCACCTTTCATAAACTAATCTTATGTACCTTTCATCTGGACTGTTGTTTGTGAAGCAAAGATCTCCCATGAAGTCATCCTCGTTGGTTGGATTATCCTCGAAAACTGGGAACTTCCCATGTCTAAAATGAGAAATATGTGTGATAACATAATCAATACACAGGATGAAATATTTACATTGCATCAAACATTATTCCACAAATGCCATAGTTTTAATTTTGAAATATATTAACGATATTCCAGTTGCCATGTAACCATAATATCTCCTACCTCCTATAGTGGGCCTCTCTGTACCATAGGTCTCTCTCCATCTGGATAGTGCTGTACTCTTCACTCTCCATTGAAGGGCTTGTATGGTTCTGTGCAGTCCCTTCTGTTGATCCGCACTGATCTAGGCACTGTTCCAGGTTCTGCCAAGGTCGTCCAGGACTAGATTCCTCGGAGCTCTCTATAAGGTTTGATAAGAAACACAAGCCACTGCTGTATCCGCCTTCAAGAAATGGTGTGCATATCAGCAGGACCACTCTCTCCTTAACGGAGTCTGGAACATCACAGAGGGAATTGTATTGCGAGACGTCTTTGAACAACTCTTTGAGATGCTTGGAGTCGTCCTGAAGATCTAACGGGGGCACTACCACTTTATTCAAATGGTTTCCATGATGTCCCGAGGTAGGAGCCCTGTATGTAGCTGGAGGCATAAGACCCCTCTCAGGATGCCTTTTGATTGAAAGTAATATTTTGTCTTCTTTTCCTTGTGGCAGTTTTGCGTCCCGGCTGTGACACTGCTGCAGTGTGGAATCGGTGAGCTGAGCTGTATCCTCAGCTGCGTTCGTCTTTCTTTTTTCAGGTTCTACACACGTTTTGTCACAATCAACATATGCTCCGTCCGCACCAGTTGGCCTCCTGTTTCTTGATCTATAGCCATCAGAGTGGCGTTTGTTCAGATAGCTGTGCCTTGGCTTATTCCGGACAACATCCTGACCTCTTGAGAACCCTCGGTCTGACTTGGATCCAAAGACAGAAGAGTTGACAGTGTCCAGGTCACAGTCGCCTTCTTCTTTGGTGTAACCGTTGTTGTTAGTGTTAAGGCAGGCTGTGTAGTTTAACTGGGCAGTCTTGGTGTTTACTTGTGACAAGTCCCCAGGTTTGTCTTTACCCTCAGATATTAAACTGGTCTCTTTGATGATGGATCCACACTGGATTTTCCTGATGAAGCACCTCACCAGCTGAAGCCTGCTATAATTCTCGTCTGCTGTCTCCGGTACACGCATCTTCTTCACCTCCTCCCAGTACAGGTCCTCCATGATCTGGATCTGAGATCGACCTGCCTGTTGAGCTGGTGCCCTGCTGGGAATTGCCCTGAAGTACTTCATGTGTTGAGTGGCCAGGTCCTTCAGGGAGGCCGAGACCATGTCGGGGTATGTGTCCTCAAGCCAGTACCAGGGTGTGAGCGGACTCCGGGCCAGGCAGCTGCCAGGGGGGACAGGCTTCAGGGATGGGATGGCGTTGAGGATACGCCGCTTGGTGTCCTTTGAAAAGAAAAATTGAAATAAAGGGGTGTTGTCTGTTTTGTTTGCTGTTCCACGCCGCAGCAATATGCCGGTGGTCTGCAAATAATCGAGTCTGGGTCAGCCAATCCAGTTATTGACAGTATGAGCATCAATCCACGCAATTGGGATACGATGACGGGCAATCAAACTAGCACCGCGCAAGGCACTGAGTCGACATTTTCGCCACCCTTAGGTATATTTTTACCTGTATACTTACTCAGAATCCCAACGGGTTAAACGTGCTTTACAAAGATGTGTTGTTAAAAAAATCAAATCAATCAGGCTACTAAAACAATGTATAATTCCTTTATAATGTAGCACGAAAGTATTTGCATTGTAATAAATAGAGTAATTAATAAAACTTGGTAATTTGGTGGGTCTCCGACAGATATGATTTTCAGGGTTTTTTTTACACCTTTGATTAATACGGATTACGTACATGTAGTCACTGTCTCTCATGTATCTAAGTATGGATAAGCATTTATGGATGAGCAACTTCTTTATTACAATTGAGAGTGACGTTTCGATGTAGGTTCTAACACCGTTATCAAGCAAGTGATGCTTATCCTCCCTTAGTATTCCAACTTCTAAATGCCTATAAAAGAAGTATAATTTCTTTATAAGAAAATCCAAGCTATCCCAGAAAATTTCTGCTACTTATAATACATTTTATATTGCTATCAGCACAAAATACTCCATGAACTTTCACCAACGCAATAACACATGTGGATACAAAAAGGGTAACATATATCAAACTTGATTGTCATGTTTAAAAGCTCCCGGGCGAAGATATTACAAACGTTATGAAAACGTTACTTTACTGAAAAGTGAGTGAGTGAGTGGGTGAGTATGGTTTTACGCCGCGTTTAGCAATATCCCAGCAATATCACGGCGGGGGACACCAGAAATGGGCTTCACACATTGTACCCATGTCGGGAATCGAACCCGGGTCTTCGGCGTGACGAGCGAACGTTTTAACCACTAGGCTACCTGACCGCCCCCTTGACTGAAAAGAGTCGCCGAAACGCAATTATGAAACCCGTATCAAACACACCACCATGGAATTAACATTTCTTGTTTGTTTTATTTTTAGTCATCATTAAACATAGGTGTATACTTTCTTTTGCCCGGCAGTTCAGTTTAACCTGCCAACTTATCCCAATGGCATACACAGTACACACGCTGAATGGTTCTTTTGGTGGGTGGATGGGGTTGGTGGGGTATTTGGGTGGAGAGCCCACAACCCACAACAAACCCCCAATGTCCCCACAGCCCACATTCTCTACAAAAAGTGATATTTTGTCATAATATTTGTTTAGAACATACTTTCCGACCAACATCTCTATAATATACATTAATATGTATATCGAATAATATAGTGAGTAAGTAAGTGAGTGAGTAAGTATGGCTTCACGCCGCTTTTAGCAATATCCCAGCAATATCACGGCGGGGGACACCAGAAATGGGCTTGACACATTGTACCCATGTCGGGAATCGAACCCGGGTATTCGGCGTGATGAGCGAATGATTTAACCACTAGACTACCCGACCGCCCCGAATAATATAGTAATCAGATGGAAACAGTACATTAGCTCCATTTTGATAATGCTAAAACTCCTTTATAGATACTTACCATTTCGTTCTCCTTGAAGCTGATGTACTTGGTCGTGCGGGGCTTGTACCTCAGCGGAAGTCCGTCCAGTTTGTCTCTGAGCAGACGACATTTTTCAACCCGACTCCACTGGGGTCGAACTAGCGGTCGTGGTTTTGGGGGCACCATTTCCGGTGGTACCTCCTTCTGAAGAAACGGTAGAAGGACGCGTGGCTTGGTTAATTTCCTTTCATTAGAAATGATGTCTTGGCTTGGCTCAGTCTCCATTTGAGTTGAGCTTCTTGGAGTTGGTGGCGCTGGCACCAGGGGTTTTGCATGACCAGGCAAGAATATTACTGCCGTAGCTACGATCCCATCGTAAAATGCAACAAATGGCCCTTCCCTTTCCCCAGGTTCTGTCTTGTTCCTTGCACTGTTGGGAGGGCTCTTCAGATAATCTACATCACCGGGCAAGAATATTACTGCCGTGGCCACGATCCCATCGTAAAATGCTACAAAGGGGAGTCCGTCTTTCTTGAGTTCAGCCAGATACCGTGGGTTAGAGGGAGGGATCACTACACGAGATTCAACCTCACCTGGATCCAATGTGGCCAACATTGTTTGGTTATAGGCAGTAGATAGACTTAGCTCACGCTTGAGTAGGGCCAGGTTCATGAGGCTTGAGAGTTGGTCCTCCAGGAATTCTTTAAAGTCAAGCACCAATGTGCGTGCCATGGACAGGAATTCTTCGTTATGTGTGATATATGGACTGTCCATATTTCTTAATCCGACCAGTTGCACATGTCTCAATGGTTGATGCTTCAGGCGTTGTACATTACGTGGTAAGATTGCCTGTGTTCGGGCTACCCTCTCATCGTAAAATGCAAAGTAAGGATTTCTCTTTTTCACAAGTTCTACTTTGTTTCTAGGGCTTGATGTCAAGGCATGTGTCTGGTCTACAGCTCCTGGTAGGAATATCTGTGCCGTGGCTACCACCCCGTCGTAAAATGCGACAAATGGCCCTTCCCTTTCCCCAGGTTCTGTCTTGTTCCTTGCGCTGTTGGGAGGGCTCTTCAGATAATCTACATCACCGGGCAAGAATATTACTGCCGTGGCCACGATCCCATCGTAAAATGCTACAAAGGGGAGTCCGTCTTTCTTGAGTTCAGCCAGATACCGTGGGTTAGAGGGAGGGATCACTACACGAGATTCAACCTCACCTGGATCCAATGTGGCCAACATTGTTTGGTTATAGGCAGTAGATAGACTTAGCTCACGCTTGAGTAGATCAAGGTTCATGAGGCTTGTGAGTTGGTCCTCCAGGAATTCTTTATAGTCAAGCACCAATGTGCGTGCCATGGACAGGAATTCTTCGTTATGTGTGATATATGGACTCTCCATATTTCTTAATCCGACCAGTTGCACATGTCTCAATGGTTGATGCTTCAGGCGTTGTACATTACGTGGTAAGATTGCCTGTGTTCGGGCTACACTCTCATCGTAAAATGCAAAGTAAGGATTTCTCTTTTTCACAAGTTCTACTTTGTTTCTAGGGCTCGATGTCAAGGCATCTGTCTGGTCTACAGCTCCTGGTAGGAATATCTGTGCCGTGGCTACCACCCCGTCGTAAAATGCGACAAATGGCCCTTCCCTTTCCCCAGGTTCTGTCTTGTTCCTTGCGCTGTTGGGAGGGCTCTTCAGATAATCTACATCACCGGGCAAGAATATTACTGCCGTGGCTACGATCCCATCGTAAAATGCGACAAAGGGGAGTCCGTCTTTCTTGAGTTCAGCCAGATACCGTGGGTTAGAGGGAGGGATCACTATACGAGATTCAACCTCACCTGGATCCAATGTGGCAAACATTGTTTGGTTATAGGCAGTAGATAGACTTAGCTCACGCTTGAGTAGATCAAGGTTCATGAGGCTTGTGAGTTGGTCCTCCAGGAATTCTTTAAAGTCAAGCACCAATGTGCGTGCCATGGACAGGAATTCTTCGTTATAAATAATAATATCTGCACTTGAGATCTTGAATCCGGTCAGTTGCACATGTCTCAATGGCTGATGCTTCAGGTGTAGTCCATTACGTGGCAAGTTTGCTTGTGCCGTGGCTACCCTACCGTCGTATAATGCGCCATTGGGACTTTTCTTTCCCAACAGTTCTACCTTATTTCGAGCAATGGAGTCCTTCCGATCTACAGCTTCTGGTAAGAATATTACTGCCGTGGATATGTTGCCATCGTAAAATGCGACAAACGGACTTACTTCAGCCCCGCTCCAAAATTGGAGTAAAGGCGGTGTGTCGATTCCGACGATTTCAATCTTCATCATACGATGCCAGAGAACGTCTTGTTAGCAGAAAGTCCGCATCAACAATGGCGTGACGTCACAAACGTATCCAAGTATGGCTCATCGCGTTTCAATCACGTTACACGAGATTTTGGAAATACTTTCCATGAAAACAGTGAATTTAACGAAAGGGGTGAAATGTACGACCCGAAAACACGGCTATCCATTGATATGTACACGTAGCATAGCCAACAATGTTCTAATTAATGGCCAAAAGTTTCTCGGAGTGAGGAACTTATTACGTCATAAAGTTATGACGTCACTGTGCAGTGACGACATAATCGCGGAAAGCCTACACCGTACCGTTAAACTAGATCCACAGTTGGTTCGCGCAGATGGTTTAGCGCTTTTTGTCTGTAACCGCTGTCGGGTAGACAGGATCCCAGTCCGGCAGACCTTATCAGCAGTGGTGAACATTTTACCACAGCCACGAGTTCAATTTCAAATCACCTTTCTCTTGTTTTTAAACAAACGCGCGTACACTGAAAATGAGATTATGTACCGAAGATAGATATTCATATTAGGTTATTTGTTTTGTTTGTTTGTTGTTCAACGCCGCACTCAGCAACATCCCAGCTTATGTCACGGCGGTCTGTAAATAATGGAGTCGGACCAGACAATCCAGTGATTGATATCATGAGCATCGATCCACGCAATGGGGATCGATGACATGCTTCAACCAAGTCAGCGAGTCTGAAAACCCGATCCTGTTAGTCGCCTCTTACGACACGCATAGTCGCCTTTCACGGCAAGCATGGGTTGCTGAAGACCTATTCTACCCCGGATCTTAATTCACGGGTCTCATATTTGATTAAGTAATAAATGTTGGTGACGGTGACTTTAGTCAATCTATGAGTTGTTCTATGGGTTGGAGCTTGCTTTAGCATAGACTTGCGATAATGGTAACGCTTCAATCACTTCATGGAACGAAATCTGACGGAGGCCATTGTAAACACAAATCAGAAACCAGATCTATTTTCCAGTCTCTGCACAAACATAGCGTTTCCTCGCAATAATTTTCGCGCTCCCTCACTAATACCAGGGAACGGCAAACTATGGAAACATTTGTGACCAATTCGTGTTATCCGTCTTCTTGCAGGTTACGGAAAGGGGCGAGTGGTGACTAATGCTATGGAAAGTGTAGCGAGGAAACGCCGCAGGATAGCGATGGAACGCGATAGTTTTGTGAGAAAACGCTGTGTTATTATTTTATACTATGGCAGATATAGGAGCTACCGTAGAAAAGCAATGGGCAGTTGAACAACTGGATCAAGCGACAGTAAAAGATTGTTTATGTGCACGTGATCCTAACAGTCGAGTCATGTGATAGACAAGATGGCGGCTTCCGCAACGGCAAGCATTACATTTTGTCTGATCCTGCAGGTCATGTTGATCTCGGTCCATGGGAAGTCTCCGAATATTGTGTTTGTCCTGACGGATGATCAAGATGTTGTGCTAGGTGGACAGGTTTGTGTGACACTGCTTTTTGTGGGATGCATTTACCAGTAGCTATGCACGTTTCAGCCACAGGCCCCTGAAGCAGGATAGTAATATTACTGAAACACCGGACCCATATATATAAATTATTTATTATTTATATATATGGGTCCGGTGTTTCAGTAATATTACTATCCTGCTTCAGGGGCCTGTGGTTTCAGCGACACATTGCCATTGGTTAGCAGTAACATTTATTTTTCACATCAAAAGGTTTGATGCGATGCATCAACACGCGGCAAACTATTTTTTCGTCAAATTATATCTACAATAAAATATTTTTTCCCAAATTGACTACTATGGTTTGTTTGGTTGCTTTGTTGTTTAACGCCGCACACAGCAATATTCCAGCTAGCTGACGGCGGTCTGTAAATAATCGAGTCTGGACCAGACAATCCAGTGATTAATATCATGAGCATTGATCTATGCAATTGGGATCGATGACATGCATCAACAAAGTCAGCGAGCCTGACCAACCGACCCCGTTAGTCGCCTTGACTACTATGCGATTACCACCCTTACATACTGAACTTGATAACAATATCTTTCCACAGTAAATGAGCACAGTAGCCTATTCAGGCTGACACTAGGTCAAGCTGCATACCACTTTTGAGGCTATCCATATTTGTCTTTGTGTTTTTCATCACCAACCGCAACCATCATAAGAGCAAGCGGGCGAAATAAAAAAATATAAATTACAAGATAACTTTAATCCAGAAGTAGAAGATCAACATGGCACAAAGACATTTGTAGCATACCTGCCTATTTGATTCAAACAATTTGAGCTAGGCATTCCAATAAGTCTCTGATTTTTGTCACTCGTAAATGAAGATAAACAGCGAGTTCCGAATGCAAACAAATAAAGACGCTCTGTTTTATTGTTGTGTTTCAAAGTTCCATGACATCTACACCCAAAAGGGTGTACTATTGAGGGTATATTTGTGTTTTGTGGGCAGTTTTCTTACTGTAAAAGATCTCATATTAACATGATTAATAATATTGTTTTTTTTATTAATTGTTTTCAATTCCAGACACCTATGGTAAAAACAAAGAAATTAGTCGGAGACCAAGGAATTATTTTTAACAACATGGTAAGTAATTGTTTCAAACAAAATGTATTTTCTCCGATCTAGGCCAATTTATTTTCTTATGTTACATCCAAGTCCACTTAAATTTTGCAAATATTTGTTTATATAAATGCATCATTATTTAACTTCCCATACTCCACCCCCATCAGAACTGCTCTGTTATGTTCATACCTTTTTCCCTTCCCCTCAGTTTGTGACAAGTCCGCTGTGCTGCCCAAGTCGTTCCAGCATCTTCACAGGAAAATTTGTCCACAACCATGGTGCCCAGAACAACAGCATCAGTGGTGGCTGCAGCAGCACGAAGTGGCAAACCACTCAGGAGACTACAGCGTTCCCCACACACTTCAGTCAGCAAGGATACACCAGTTTCTTTGCGGGAAAGTATCTAAATGCTGTGAGTATTTGCCAGATTGTAGGTGTCTTATCAATAAACTTATGAGTTTTACTGACTAGGATAAGAAAACTCAAAACTCTATAATCATGATAATATGATTGGTCACAAATTTGTTGTAAATGTATAACGTAAAACAATGCTGAAATGCTGTTTGGTGTAAAATAAAAACAAAAATTCTTATTATAAAAGTTAAAAACGCATGTCAGATAATAGACTCATTCTTCATCCCACTAAGATGGAACAGAGCTCCAGATAAGCTTTTGGTGTTGTGGGTATTTTACCCATGCATATTAAAATCATTGGGTATCAGTAATTCTATTTGGGTATTCAAATTTCTGTTACCCACTAGTTTTTACACATGTTGGTATTTAAGTTAAATATTTAAAAACACTATTCATCTAGTCCCTGCAAACTGGTGTCGTGTGGGTTCGAAAGCTTTATAGGACTCAAAAATACCACGATACTTCCACAAGAAAGTGTGATGGCAAAGAACATGATGTAACTGTCATCGTGGAGTTTGGCAAGGTTGACGAAATGCCCGTTTATAGTTTCAAAATAAGTTGCTGATTTGTTTATTGAATACGCAGGGTTACCCAGGTACTTCACAATATTTTGATGATACGCACAAGTTTTATTTTTGTAGTGTATCTGTAATGTTCGTTGCGTATTTGATACGCTTGGATTTTATTTTACTGCGTATTTCTGCATTTCTGATGCATATTTTACGCAGATACGCAGCTTATCTGGAGCTCTGGATGGAATGCAACTTCACCTCAAACACATCACCCCAAAACATGTCACACCCGAAAGAGACCAAAATGACTCGGATTCGCATTCCTTTGTAGGCGTTTTACACTGTATTGCCATGAATAGCATTGGCCTAGTGAACCACAATTACAAAGCATAAAGCACACTTGAGAGTAGAATTTGCCAGGGAAATTGGGTAAAAACTCATTATTTTGTTCAAAATATGGATTTTTTTAAAAGTTCATATTTTCTTAATTTCAGAGTTATTTTGACATTGTATTTTGAGATTCCATTTAATACAATAATATAAAATAAAGCATTAAACCCCTCTCTATTTACTGGTGTGATACACATTACTTCTACAAAGCCATATAATGAATTATATATACTACTATCATGGATTGGGAAAGTTTTAGTTCCTAATAGAGAATTTTTAATGACATTTACCGCAGACTTGGGGACGAATATCAGCCCCTGAGGAGGTCTAGATAAATCTCTGAAAGCGTGTCAAGGTTGTGGGATAGAATCTCAAGTTTAGTGTTGTTTGATGGCGCTGTACAACTTGGTGTCAACCAGGGGTGAAGACAATTTCCAAAACTGGTTAGAGTTGCTTCTTTAAGAAGCCTTTTGAGAGACCGATGCATCGTGTTTATGTAAAGTACATGGGAAAGAATAGCATTCTTACAGGCTCCTTTGCCTTGTCTCTATATAGGGACAGAGGGCTTTCTTTTCCCTGCTCAGCATCAGCCTCTTCCCACTCCTAATGCCCAAAATGTTATTTTTCAGGAAAATGGAAACATTAAGTGTAGATTGTGCGACACCTTGTTAGTGGATGCCATGCACAACACTCCTGCGCAGTGGTGACTTAGCATAACACAGCTGCCACCGGCTAATTTGCATATCACGTGACTGGACTTTTCTCTTGTTTGTAAACAAGCGTGCTTTTTCAGAAATCAGAACGGAATGGACTAATGCAAGTATTTGGGGTTGCTTTACATATTGTTTTGCAGAATTATATAGATATGCTACTACAAGTATTGCATGACAATATACATTTATACACCAGAGTGACTGTATCGCTAGGTCTCCATGGGGCTTCAATGACAGCACATGGAGCCGTACAACCAATGTAAACAGAGGATAACTACACAAATGGAAATAGTTTTTCACGATTTGGGATTCTCAATGAAAGTTAACCATTCTATGACATATGTTTATCTAGATGTGTAGACTTGTCAAAATTGAAACAGATGAAAAACATATGCAATATCTTGAATGGACAGTGTAAGATGTGACAAATCGTCACATGGTGCTGGCCTGTGGCAGAGGTATTATGCTGGTCGCATGGAACTCTGGGTTGGAGAGTGGCCATGCACAAGGCACTGTGTGATTTTCTTTGTAGGTAGTTGGTTAAGACAAAATATAATGATGCAAAGTTGATGGTCGGGATAAAATCTAATAAATAATTTATTATGGCCTTAATACAAGGTTCATACAGACTTGGAAAGGCCTTGAATTTTAGTGTTCAATATCTGTTTGAACTTTGTTATAATTATTCTATATTATTTCTTTGGTTACAGTGTTAGAAAAAGTTTGAATATAAGAAAAGATCCCAATTTGCATCACACACATTTAATTCAAAGTCTTTGATAAATCCTCCAAATATTTACCGAGGACAGAGGTGGTGTGGTTGTGATAATATAAAAAAACTATGAGCTGTTTGTTTTTCAGTACGGACTGAAGCCGGCGGGCGGGGTGCAGCATGTCCCTCCAGGATGGGACTGGTGGAATGGTCTGGTATGTGACTGTTTGTTTGTTTGTCCCACCTGATCCATTTGGTCGCCTATTATAGGATGCAGGGGACCAGTTCTAACCCAGAATCCCCACGATACAACTAGCATAGGCTGTTGTGGACCAGTTCTAACCCAGGATCCCCACGGTACAACCAGCATAGACCGCTGGGGACCAGTTCTAACCCGGAATCCCCAAGGTACAACCAGCATAGGCTGCTGGGGACAAGTTCTAACCTGGAATCCGCACGGTACAAGCAGCATAGGCTGCTGCGGACCAGTTCTAACCTGGAATCCCCAGGATACAACCAGCATAGGCTGCTGGGGACCAGTTCTAACCTGGAATCCCAACGATACAACCAGCATAGGCTGCTGGGGACCAGTTCTAACCTGGAATCCGCGGTGTTCCACCAACATAGTCTGCTGGGACCAGGTCTAACCTGGAATCCCCATGGTACAACCAGCATAGGCTGCTGGGGACCAGTTCTAACCTGGAATCCCCACGGTACAACCAGCATAGGCTGCTGCGGACTAGTTCTAACCCAGGATCCCCACGGCACAACCAGCATAGGCTGCTGGGGACTAGTTCTAACCCAGGATCCCCACGGCACAACCAGCATAGGCTGCTGGGGACTGGTTCTAACCTGGAATCCTCACAGGATGGGGTGCAGAGTTGGGGGTGTGACTCCCTCCAGTGTACTGCAGAAATATTCTCAATCTCAAAAGTAACCGCAATCATATTAACAAGGGAAAGAAAATATTTGTTTTTTTCAAATGTGCCACAGGGCTCCCATAACGATGTTAGGTGTACCCACTGGAATTACAGTATGTCAACTAGAACAATAATTTTGATCCATCATCAAACTCGGTTAATGTCATTTCAATATTTTCCCCAAGGCCATATAAAACCCAGTTGTAATTTTCAATGAGATTGATGATACCTTTGATAATAAACGTCGTGACAAGTCTCTAAATGTGTCCCTCAGGCTTTAGGAACTTATTTTAACTGTGAGATAACAAGTTTAGCAATGCCATCAGCATTAAAATACAAGGAATTTTGAGTTATTGTCAGTTATCATGAAAGCATATGGTGTCATCCGTTGTTTCATGATGAAATGGCCTTCCAACGTGACATCATGTGAAGGTTCACACTGGGAGAGTGTGCTATGGATTGGCTAATTCAGAATGCTGAAAATCTGAAAACACAGAATGCTCATTGACTTTCTAAATGACACTCTTTATCTCCTTATTCCAGGGGGGCACGGGTGGCCCAGTCGTCTAAGGCGCCGCGATTCACTGTGCAGAGTTGCGTCCCTTGGACGCGCCAGAAATCTATGATTGCGAGTTCGAATCCCGGTTCGCCCCGATTATGTTTCTAGGTTTGTCAGCACCATACCCGTGCTCGTTGGTTTCACCAAAGTGGTAAACTTCTGAGACCTGCATCACTTCGGGCTTTCCTCCCACATTAAGCTGACACGCAGTGATATAACTGGAATACTTTTAAAAGTGGCGTTAAACCCAACTCACTCACTCACTCACTCATTCCTTATTCCAGGTGGGGAACTCTGTGTACTACAACTACACGCTGTCAATAAATGGCACTGCCCAGGACCACGGACAGAGCTATAACAGTGACTACCTCACTGATCTCATTGTAAGTATACCTGAGGCCAACCTACCGTATTGAATGTAATAAGCGCCCTGCTCTAATGAGCACCTCAATAAATGGCACTGCCCAGGACCACGGACAGAGCTATGAGAGTGACTACCTCACTGATCTAATTGTAAGTATACCTGAGGCCAACCTGCCGGATTCGATATAACGAGCACCCAGCTCTAATGAGCACCTCAATAAATGGCACTGCCCAGGACCACGGACAGAGCTATGAGAGTGACTACCTCACTGATCTCATTGTAAGTATACCTGAGGCCAACCTACCATATTGAATGTAATAAGCGCTCCACTCTGATAAACGCCCATGGCGATATTTGCTAATATATTGGCTAGTGAACAATCCCAATTAGCACCCCTTCTGAATGATCAATGTACACAAGACTTATTTATTTGTGTATAATACACACTCGTGTGTTATATGCACCCTTAATTATGGGCAATTAAATTCTAGAAAAATATATCTGTCGTATATACACATTTCAGGCTGTCAGCATAAACCAAGAAATTTACGATCTTTCAACTTTACCAAAATAATATTCTAATAAGAGACGCCTATTTCTAGTTTTGAGTGCGCCTTGGGCGCTTATTACGTCGAATATGGTAAATGTTATTTACATTGGTATCTGCAATGGTCCTCCCTTGATTAAGCTGTGAATTATGGGGTTGTATTCTGTTATGACAAATTTTTTTTACCCATAGCATACCCTTTAACTCGTTCTTAGTTTTCATAACAACAGATATTTTATGTTGATAAGAATATTTTTGGGCAATGCTTTCAACCAAAGTTGTTTTATAGATGTGCCACCCCTAAAAGTTCATTCAGGGTTCATCTGACATGACCTCCTATGGAGGTATCCTCACCTTGATGTACGTGTAGACAGGTATATATCGGAGTAAATGATCTGATTTCAATGAGATTGCATGAAATTAAGGATTATGTTGTGAGTAAATTAATTCATTATTATCCCGTGCCACGAATTGGAAGATGGATATAGATATGGGTGCCTTTCGTCTGTCCATCTTTCCTACCGTCCGTCCATCCATCCATCTTTCCTACCGTCTGTCCGTCTGTCCGTCACGTTTTGTTTTGTTTCTGGAGCAGAACTAAAAAACCATGAGAGGTATCTTAACCAAACTTGGTACATGGATAGGTCTAGTGGTTAACTGGTGCCTTTTGATAGTTTGAGATTTTTGAAAATTTATTTTTCGAGTTTCCTTGGCAACAACTTTGACATAGACTAAAAATGGCGGTAGTGCTCCTTTCCAGATCAGATCTTGAAAATTGAACAATATTTCTTCACCAAACTTGGCACATAGATAGGTCTAGTGGTAAACTTGTGCCTTTTGATAGTTTGGAATTTTTGTAAAATTTGTGTTTCGAGTTTCGATAGCAAAGACCTTGACTTAGACTGAAAGTGGCGGTAGTGCTTGTTTCTGGAGCAGATCTTGAAAACCGTACAATATTTCTTGCCTTGCATACAAACTTGACATGTCATATTGGCAGGGGATATGAGTATTTCATGCTTGTTTCATTAGGCACAGAGTTTGAAAAAACATTGTATGACACCATTTGACATGCCATTTACAAAGCATGAGCCACTTTGCGAACAATGAAAGCGATCTAATATTTGGCAGAAACTAGCCAATCAGAATGTAGCAAAAATTGAGGAAATTACGGTAAATAACCACACATATTCACTGACCCCGGTGGTAAAAAGTATGCCGATAAAGGACAGACAAAATAACTATGATTTCCACAGATCAGGACTTTTTAAAAAAAAGAAATCTGTGAACCAAGAGGTGGCCTTATTTATTCTTCAGCATAGACAAGCAATAGGATTCCTACAGGAGCAAGACAAGGACTCAAAGCCATTCTTCATGATGATGTCCACCCCAGCCTGCCACGGCCCCTTCACCCCCGCCCCTCAATACAGCCAGAACTTCTCCAATCTCACCGCCCCCAGGAATGGCAGTTTCAACAAACATGGAAACGTAAGGCAGCAAGATGATTAGCTGAGGTTACTATGGTCACCGTAGCCCCTCATTCTTCTACCTGTGAAGATCCGGGGTAGAATAGGTCCATGCTTGCAGTAAAATGCATCTATGCTTGTCGTAAGAGGCGACTAACAGGATCATGTGGTCAGGCTCGGTGACTTGGTTGACCCATGTTAATTTATCCCAGTTGCGTGGATTGATGCTCATGATATCAACCACTGGATTCTCTAGTCCAGACTTGATTATTTACAGACCGCCATCATATACCTGGAATATTACTGAGTGCGGCGTTAAACAAGAAACAAACAGAATCCTTCTATTATTTTTATAAATGTTTTCTTCCTTAATGAAATATATGGACTTTTATTTGCCATTTTGTTTTCCAAAACAGTACCTGTTTTGGGTTTTCATCTGGAATCCTTATTCAAAGTTTGCTTTCGACAAATATAAGTATGCATACTTAGAGGTAAGTGTTTGAACAAGGGATGGGTATCTCGATGTCTCGGGGGTTTAGCAAGCTCCTTCCCAGTGTGTGACACCTTCGTTAACCTCCAGCTGGTATAGAGAGCTCTGTGTAGGGTCTGTCACAGTGAGGAACTTGGGGGTCTGGCAAACTCCTTCCCAGTGTGTGACACCTTTGTTTACCTCCCAGTATAAAGAGCTATGTGAACAGTCTATCCCTGTGAGGAGCTTGGTGGTCTTGTAGCAAAGGGACATAACCCTGCACAGCAAGTTTTGAAATGTCAGAACACAGGGCTCCATTACACAAAGCGGACCTTAGCGCTAAGGTGAGTGTGACTCTCATTATTTGATGTTAGGCGTATGATCATCATAGTGCTAAGATATCTTTTGTGGAACAGGGCCCTGGATCACATGAGATACGATGAAGGCAGTGAAATCTCATAAGAAATGTTATTTAATCAGCGTCTGTAAACCAATAAGTTGGTTGGTTGGTTTGTTGTTTAACGCCGCACTCAGCAATATGACAGCGGTCTGTAAATAATCGAGTCTGGACCAGACAATCAAGTGATTGACATCATGAGCATCAATCCACGTAATTGGGATCGATGACATGCATCAACCAAGTCAGCGAGCCTGACCACCCGATCCCGTTAGTCGCCTTTTACGACAAGCATAGTCGCCTTTTACGGCAAGTATGGGTTGCTGAAGACCTATTCTACCCCGGAATCTTCACGGGTCCTTAACAAATAAGTCATTGTACTCAGAAGGCATTTATGCCAATTCATTTTCAGATATGATAAACATCTGATCAACTTTGTTCTGTTTTATTACAGAACAAGCACTGGCTAATTGAGCAGGCCAAAACACCAATGCCCAATGACACTATTGCCAACATCGACGATGTATTCCGAAATAGGTAAGCACCATCAGCATACATTCAGCATAGTAATGTAATAACATCTACCGCTGATTGATACGGGAAACAAAATTCCCAAATCTGATAAATACTGGTACAGAGGATATTATTCACAAGTATGGATACAATGTATTGCATTATGTGAGTCATTGGTGAGCACATTACCTACTTCTTGCTCAACATATAGTTAGTACTGAGCTATGACTGTGAGTGAGTGAGTGAGTTGGGTTTAACGCTGCTTTTAAAAGTATTCCATTTATATCGCGGCGTGTTAGCTTAATGTGGGAGGAAAGCCCGAAGTGATGCAGGTCTCAGACGTTTACCACTTCGGTGAAACCCACGAGCACAGGTATGGTGCTGACAAACCTAGAAACATAATCGGGGCGAACCGGGATTCGAACTCAAAATTATAGGTTTCCTGCGCGCCCAAGAGACGCAACTCTGCACAGCGAATTGCCGCGCCTTAGACGACTGGGCCACCCGTGCCCCCACTATGACTGTGGAATATATGTATTACTGAGACCAAAACCAGTCTTAAAACACAAGTCCAAATCAGTGTCACAGAAAAAGATTTTAGAGGAAAGATATGTATCGTGTAATGAGAGTGTCTGCCCAGAGAGCCGTAGGTCCGGGGTTCGATCCCCGGCCGCGTCATACCAAAAGACGTTAAAAGATGGAACTTGTTGTTACTCTGTCTGGCGCTCGGCATTAAGGAGCTAAAACAAGGACTGGTCGGCTTGGAGTCACTATACTGTGTCTAAATGGGATATTCATGTTAAATTGCGGCATGGTATCTAAGTGAGCTAGCACTATAAATCGTCATCAGCCCGAACTTGTACAAGCAGCTACACAACACACACACGTACATGCATGTCGCTGTATAAGTGCAATAATCTTGGACGTGACGTTAAACCCCATGAGATTTCATAGACTATATATTAGTCTTGTACAGATTTGTGTTTTTATTGTTTTCCCATCCTCTACACAGGTGGAGGACATTGTTGTCAGTTGATGACATGGTGGAGAACGTGGTCAACATGTTGGACAAGAAAGGACTGTTGGACAACACCTTTGTCTTTTTTTCTTCAGACAATGGCTTCCATCTTGGTAAGAAAACACAAATTATCTATTTCAGTCAAATAATTAATAAAGCAACTATTTGTCCTTGTAATGAGTTATTTCTTTGATAGCACTTCATGTTGTCAACTTTCTTTGGTCTTGTTCAACCATTACTTAAATTCTGGAACAGGTGCTCTCGAGGACTGAGGTAACGCAACTGCAGAGTTGCTTCCCTTGATCTGCTGGTCATAATTTTGAAGCCAAGATTCTTCCCTGTTATGATCTGGGCCTTAGTCTGGCAGCAACAAACCATTGCTTGTGGGTTCCATCAAAGGCACCCGTCAACATCCGGGGTAGAATAGCAACCCATGCTTGCCGTAAAAGGCGACTATGCTTGTTGTAAGAGACGACTAGCAGGATTGGGTGGTCAGGCTCGAGGACTTGTTTAATGCATGTCATTGTATCCCAATTGTGTAGATCGATGCTCATGATGTGATTCACTGGATTGTCTGGTCCAGACTCGATGATTTACAGACTGCTGTCATATAGCTGGCATATTGCTGAGTGCAGTGTTAAATAACCCCCAAAAAAATCCATCAAAGGTATAAATGTACATGACTTTTGTCACTTATAGAACCTGAAGTGGTGATATGCTCAAAACCAACTTCCCGTACCAAGGGAGGTAATTGACTATAAAAGTCCAGTTTCCATCCTTGACGAACAAGGCTGGAATTTCATGGCTCGATCGTTGCGCCACCAGTTTCTAATGTGAGTTATGACCCTTCTATGTCCCTCCTATTGACCAATCAGATTCCACCTCTCATATCACTTGCATTTGCTTCAAACAAAATGGTGGCACCCAGTCTAGATGATCTGATCTTTAATCAAGTTCTATATTGTAAAAAATCTAATGAAAAGATTTTCAAAATATCTGTCAATGACAAGTTGGCGATACACATGCTTTGCGAATCCTGCAGACGACCGAAATCTGCACAGCAGACAAAATGTTGTTTATGAACTCGGTGCCATTTTTGTTCCATGATTTTGATTGGACAAAATACAACTCCAAAATTCCGGGCTAGTTCGCAAGGATAGATTCTGGACTCATTTATTTGGAGAAATGATTGTAAACTCACTCACTCACACACTGTTTCCTGTGCAGGGCAGTTTTCAATGCCACAAGATAAACGGCAGTTCTATGACTTTGACATCCGTGTTCCACTCATGGTGCGAGGTCCAGGGGTCAAAGCTGGTCAAGTCAGAGACGTAAGTCACGCCTATCAATAACATAATGAGCTTTTAATTTTATGGTTGCTAAAATTGGTGTGGGAATTAATTCCAGAGGCAGATCCACAACCCAAGCTGCAAAGTCAACAAACCACACACATACACACACATCAGTGGTTGAAATTAAGCATGAGAGTCAAGGGGTCCCCAGATTCAAATAATATAGCGGAAAATCTCATGTACTCAGGACTCTTTAGTTCCAAACACGGGGGCACGGGTGGCCCAGTTGTCTAAGGCGCCGCGATTCGCTGTGCAGAGTTGCGTCCCTTGGGCACGTCAGAAACCTATGATTGTGGGTTTGATTCCTGTTTCGCCCCGATTATGTTTCTAGGTTTGTCAGCTCCATACCCGTGCTCGTGGGTTTCACCGAAGTGGTAAACGTCTGGGACCTGCATCACTTCGGGCTTTCCTCCCATATTAAAGGGGCACTGATCTAACGCAATTCCCCGGGACTGGTTGTTGCCTTTGTTATTGTTTTTTCCCAGTGAATACCCGGATGTATAGCAGAAATCTAGACTAGTTCGCGACCTCTGCTGCGCCATTCGTAAGCGCATTAGTCACTTTTATGGGTAGTAATAAGGGCGTATGGTCACATTGATGAACAAAATGAAATACAGTTTTCGAGATTATAAGGAAATGTAGGTATCTTCGTGAGTAGCATCGGTAATGGTGACGAAGTTTTGATAAGTCACTTGCTTGGTAATATTGCGATTTACGTTTACACTATTTTGACTTGCAACACAAAGTATATATTTAACCTGAGCATATGCTTTTTTTATAGTGTGTATATTTTTTTACTGTCAAATGTGTAACAAATTTAATAAACGTCTAAATATTCAGTTATTTTACAAAGTGACTGAAAAACATTTCCATCTGTATTATTATGACAACGAATTCCAAACATTTTGATGTTTAATGTCATCACCAAGAGACTGAAAATGTAACGTTGAAAAGTACATTTCTAAGTTGTTTGGCTTTTAATCCTACATAATAATCTGTTGTGATGTTTGTAGGCCCTTTTGATCGTCTTGATCAATCTGGACAGATTTTTTAGTCAAAATGACTGAAATATTTACACATTTTATAAATTGCCTGAGCGAATCACATTTTACAAATTGACGGTAATATATACACGCTTACAAAGGAAAAGACCTGTGACAACAACGTCTATCGCGCATTGAAGAATTTCCCAACCAAGACGTAGAGAAACAAGAACGAATCGGTTCAAATGAAGGAAAACAAAATGCAGATATCATAATTACAACCTACCAAATTTATGTGTATAAGTTTTAGGCAGCTTCCTTGTTCGAGGAATGTATCCGTGAATATCCACACAAAGGAACAATATCCCACTCGTCTGCAGCTGTACAAAGAAACTTATTCGATGTCACGTGTCTTAGTAACAATCAAATATTTTAAAAGATATATATCGTTTCGGGATATTATAACCCGTGTTCGTTTCTCAACTGATCGCTTGGATTGTTTCAGGTGTTTTACATAGGTGTCAAGTCTCAATGGTCGGCTAAGAAAGCCCACGTGACAACTATTTTCATAGCGTCCACGGTTCCTAAAAATTCCATTGAGTGATAGATAACAATGATCAATCAATTAACGTATTATCAGTTAACCCTTTGAACAAAGTATGTTGTTTTTACATCGGCACTTCGCGCCATGACATGAGTGTATTCCCTTTATTTTAGTAAACCTAGACATGTAAACACTCACTCTTGACATATCCACTGTGCAAGATAACAGTGATTAATCAATCAACGTATTTTCTGTTAATCCTTTGATGACTAGGAACGATCCGTTGATTTACAAAAAAAGTAAATCAACTGATCATTCATCACTTGCTGGGCTGCCACGTGCATATTACATAACACACATTTCACCTCACTTCAAACCTGGATTTAGATTGAATAATTACCCCAGACACAATAAATGCCAAATGGGAACCTTTGTATGGTAATATAAGTGGTGCTACCACTTATTGTACCTGTAATAAATTCATTAACTGAGCATCAAGTGAATGACGACAAATACACAAGTGTAGGGTTATACGAGAAAACGTGGGTGACAAGGGAGTAGTAATCGTATTATCGACGCAAGCCGAAATCCGAAAATGCTTTCACTGCATGGATACTGTTTTTATTATTAAACTATAACCATCTGGGGTATTTCCAAATGACGACATCCGATGAGCTCCCTTGTTCTTTTTGTCTGTTTGTTTAGGCTGAAGAAATGAATTAACATGCGCCCTTTGTCGAAATCTTTATAGATCACAGTTAACCAATCAGTGTTCAAAAATGCGTAAAACAAATATTGCCTCCAGCCTCCAAGTTTATTTAGCTGTCCTTGCAGACGGTAGCCCAGTCTCTGGTCACGCTCAGTTGCGTTGCGTATCATCCGGGTACTCAGGGGGGAAAAACAATAACAAAGGCAACAACCAGTCCATTAGATCAGTGCCCCTTTAAGCTGACACGCCCTGACATTACTGGAATACTGTTAAAAGTGGCGTTAAAACCCAACTCACTCCAAACACTGCAAACACACATCCCTTTAAGCCAGATCACTTATATTTCTTTTATAGATTTGTTACTTGTACCAAAAAGCATGAAAATGAAAAAAATTGTTTGTGTCAGGGTTATTTGTAGGTTAATTTGCTAAATTTAAGTCTTTTACTATAGAATTTGTTAGAGAATTTGGAACAGTGTTCAAAGCTATTGTCAGTGCCATATAGGACAGCCAGCCAAATGAGCTTGTACAATCTGTAGTGGGCATGGTTGGTTCAGTTGTCTATGGTGCCACAATTCACAGAGTTGTGTCCTTAGTCGTGCCAGCATCGTCATCATCCTCGTTATTATTCTTGGTTATACTGTCCCCATGCTCTTGGGTTTCACCAAAGTGGTGAACATCTTAGACCTGCCTTGGCTTTCAAGGATTTATTGAGACCTGCTCAGTGGCCGATAATTGGCTCCAAGTCTGGAGCAAATGTTATTAAAAATCCCCATGTTGGAATTACAAAAATCCCAATTCATATTAATATATTGAACTAATAACTGTTTCAAATTTTATGGCTGTGTAGAGATAACCTATATTTTACAGATAACCATTAAAGACGAAGAGGTTTTAATGCTTAGTTTCATATCATTGCTTTGAATACAATTTAAGAAAGTAAGAACTTAAAAACAGTCCCAATTTTGAACAAAATAAGTATTTTTTCCCTAAGTTGCCTGCTGGGCACTTAGTTAAGAATCCAGGATAAATCCCAGGCTTTCCTCCCACACCAAGCTGACATGCTGGGCTATGACTGAATACTGTTCAAAACAGCATGGAACCCAACTCACTCACTGATCACAGTTTATAGGACAATTTCAGTATAGAGAAAAGTCGAACCTATATTTATAACAGAGTGACATCGTTTATGAAGCCAGTACCCAACAGTCATGGTCGTCCATCTGTTTCAGGAAGTGGTTCTCAACATAGACTTGGCCCCGACATTTATCGAGCTGACCGGCAGCAAAGTTCCCGATGATGTTGACGGTTTGTCTCTTCTTCAACTTTTGGAAAAACCGACGAACAAGTCCGACCCGACCTTCAGGACCAAGTTCCTCGTTGAACATGATGGGGAGTCAGAATCTGAAATACCAAACTGTCCGCAGTTCAAAGATCAAGGTCTCTCAGTAAGTAGCAATGATGCTGAAATGATGAGCATCTTCTTCAAGATGGCCTCCAAGATGTGATCAGGACCAACTCCCTCAAAACAATCTCAGTGCTAACGCTGTTACTTAATATAGACTTACAAGAGTTATAGCACTGAGATTCATTTTTGTCATTTGGGTCCTAGGGAACAGGTGCTTGGCAGTGTGAGATTCATGCACTGGGTGGTCCATCACGGTTCCATCATGTGGGTCCTAGGGAACAGGTGCTTGGCAGTATGAGATTCATGCACTGGGTGGTCCATCACAGTTCCATCATGTGGGTCCTAGGAAACAGGTGCTTGGCAGTGTGAGATTCAATACACTGGGTGGTCCATCACAGTTCCATCATGTGGGTCATAGGAAACAGGTGCTTGGCAGTGTGAGATTCAATACACTGGGTGGTCCATCACAGTTCAATCATGTGAGTCCTAGGGAACAGGTGCTTGGCAGTATGAGATTCAATACACTGGGTGGTCCATCACAGTTCAATCATGTGAGTCCTAGGGAACAGGTGCTTGGCAGTATGAGATTCAATACACTGGGTGGTCCATCATGTGGGTCCTAGGGAACAGGTGCTTGGCAGTGTGAGATTCAATACACTGGGTGGTCCATCATGTGGGTCCTAGGGAACAGGTGCTTGGCAGTATGAGATTCAATACACTGGGTGGTCCATCACAGTTCAATCATGTGAGTCCTAGGGAACAGGTGCTTGGCAGTATGAGATTCAATACACTGGGTGGTCCATCATGTGGGTCCTAGGGAACAGGTGCTTGGCAGTGTGAGATTCAATACACTGGGTGGTCCATCATGTGGGTCCTAGGGAACAGGTGCTTGGCAGTATGAGATTCAATACACTGGGTGGTCCATCATGTGGGTCCTAGGGAACAGGTGCTTGGCAGTGTGAGATTCAATACACTGGGTGGTCCATCACAGTTCCATCATGTGGGTCCTAGGAACAGGTATGCACTCACTCACTCGTTCACTCACCAACATGGAACAGCATGTGACACCTAAACATGTCAACACAGTCTCCATTCTACTTCCTTCCTATGGTCTTCAATTGGTAATGATTTTATCTATTCTCGTTCTATCTACCGTAACATTTTTGGATTTCCCTTTTCTCATGTTTCACAGGACAGAGAAATATATTCCATAATGTCTATTTGTTTATGAAATATATGGAAACTGAAATCTGATGATGTTGCCGCAGGTATGCAGCCACCACTGCGTGTGTGAAGACTCCACAAACAACACGTACGCCTGTGTGGTGGAGACGTTACGGACCACGCACTACAAGTATTGCCAGATGCAGGACTCGGTGGTAGGTATACTGGCCACATCGCCATCATATTTCCTTAGTGCCATCAACTCCTGTCAGTTTTGTCAGTCATTATGATATTTTATCCTTTTCATGTTCTTTTTGGACCACTGTTCCAAATAGATATAAAATAGCTTCAGAAACGTCTATCAGCATTTTTCATGCATTTATATTTTTTATAGCATTTACATGGGAACAAGGACATTTTAAGATTACATAATTGTTTCCCTTGAGCACTTGAAAACATTCCATATTTTCTTCTTTTTTTTTACTCTGGTGGTGGTTGGGTAGCCAAGTGGTTAAAGTGTTCGTTTGTCATGCCCAAAAAACGGTTTTGATTTCCAACATGGGTACAATGTGTGAAGCCCATTTCTGGTGTCCCCCGCTGTGATATTCCTGAAATATTGCTGAAAGCGGTGTTAAACCATACTCACTTACCCTTTTTAACTCTCCGCCTACTTCTAGACATTTATAAAGCATTTCCTGTGAAACAAGTAATCAATTTCATCTGGCCTCAGTATGTCCTGCAAAAAAGTCTTAGTTGTCATATTGAGACAATTCATATATGGAATTTGTGATAATGTGACAGGAATATTAATATTTTTATAGCATTTACAGGTCATTGAACTTACTTTTCTGAGTCAGGCAGGGAAACAATTTCTGATTTATTTCCTTAAATGTGACTATGAGGCTGTAAAAAAATATGCTTTGAAGCGGAATTTTATTCTTTTTCCACATTCCAGATTTTTGGGATCAGCAGATTTGAAACAAAGTATTTATGAATGAAATACCTTGGAGCCCTATATATTCATGACATTTTTTTATAACAATTTAGACTGAGGCAAGACCAAATTATTTACTTGTTTTACGGAACCCACTGATTGAGTTTTTTGAAATTGTGAAAAAAGGCACTTGTGTTCACACTGGAAAAATACATGTAAATAATACAATTCACCCTGATGTTTTGTATGTCAATTATGGGCAGCTACTCTAAATTCCATTCATTACAGTTGTCGAGATGAAAGCCTGTATAGCCATTGGCTAATTCTTTACCAACAGTTTTCCTTTACCCAATTGCCGGAACACTTGTAATGGCTGTAAACACAATGGACCAAAAGAATGAAAATCATGCACTTAGGTTTGTGGGATTGTTGAAGGTGATGTGAGACATTAAAGTGTAATGGAAACGGCTCCTGTCTACAATCATACTCTCTTATCACCTGATAACATCTGACTTTCATGATTACAGAACTTTGTGGAAGTGTATGATCTGGTGAAGGATCCAGCAGAGTTGAACAACATCGTGAAGTCAGCTGCGCCTAGCCTCATTTCACAATTCAGCGCCGATCTTGCTCGCATGTCTGAGTGCAAGGGAAAAGACTGTCGCAAGCTGCAGAAGACTTGACCTCCCATCCTGTCACATCATCTTCATCCCATTATCAGCCACCAATCATGATTCTCAGCCAAAGAAAATCAATCTCATTCAAATCAGATCTTAGTTCTCGCTACGGCTAAACAAAGATCTGAGGACATCCCATTAAGGGTCACGTCAGGCCGACTTGCGCGAACTTTGACCGACCAATGGAATGACCCATCAGAAGGCAGCTTTCTCGTGCTTTACGGCACAAATTTCAAATTGGCGACTACGCTTCGAAACATATTTTGACAAATTCTCGATTACAAATTTGAAACCTGAACAAAAAAACATTCTGGAATGGCTAATAGATTATCTAGATTGTAAGATTCAGTTGTTAAACCCGTAACTATCGTTCTGAATACCCCATGTTAAAGTTTCGAGATTGCATGATTAGAAATCACGTTCCGACTGTCACTTTCATAATCTGGTAAGCAACGCACTGATTGGTCGGATGAAAGGTCATTCTGACGTGACCTCTTATGGGATGTCTTCATATCTTTGTTCAGCGGTAGCGAGAACTAAGGTCTAATTTTAATGAGAATGAAGAAATATGAGCACATATCAGATATTAATACCGTATTGAAGTGCTATATTACTCACCTTTCTTAAAGTGTGTAGATCACTTCATCAATAACAGCATTATCTCTAAAATGTCACAGCTTCAATTTCTTCAAAACAGCTTGATTTGTTGGTGGAGCTGAATCTGTACTTCAAAATGGCCACCAGACAGTGATATTTGATTTTCCCAAAAAATCTGTATCTTTTTTAAAACAAGGTTGTAACTATTACTGTTATGTTTTACATTCTTTCAGTAAAGGTATTCCTATTTGAAAACAAATTTAGAATTGAGTCCTTTAAGTTCTAGGATAAACTGATAGTGGTTTTTATCCTTTGATCTTTTTTCTGTCAGCACCATGCTTGCTCCCTAGCTTCACCAAAGTGGTAAAAAATTAGGACTTTTGTTGGCTCGATCTCCTTACACCACAAGATGAGAGGTGTCATCCCGATCAGTCGAATATATAGTTAAGAATAGAGAAATAGTAGTCGACTGATTATCATTGTATATTCAAGGGAGTTCATTTTATGTTGCCACCCTTCGGTGTTGTTGTCCTGTAGAGTCGTTGCTGAAGTGCTTCCAGATAAGTGTGTCTGAGGGACCTTCGATCAAAGTTGTAGTGATGTAGTCCATGTATATCACAACATGTCCTCCCTCTGGACACTCTGCGATGGTGTTGACCGGTAAATGCAATAATGCGGTGCATCAAACTACTTGTCTATACCACTCCTCGTCACTAACCATCAGATGTTCACACTTCAGGAAACTGCTTCTCAAGTAATATGAAAACAGTAAATTGGAGTACTTTCCTTTTAAAAGCATACCTGAAGATTCCGGGGAAGAATAGGTCTTCAGTAACCCATGCTTGCCGTAAAAGGCGACTATGCTTGTCGTAAAAGGCGACTAACATGATCGGGTGGTCAGACTCGCTGACTTGGTTGATGCATGTCATTGATCCCAATTGCGTGGATCGATGCTCATGATATCAATCATACCTGAAAAAGATTTGGCAATAACCCAAGCTAATATGTTAATACTATAGGAATCTGATTCTCAAACTAAATGAAAGCAATAATTCCCACATTCTCCTTCAAAATATGGAGCTTGCATACTCTGACTTGGGCAAGATTGCCAATCACCACTTATTCATATTTAGTTTATTTAATATCGAGCACACAAATAAGGTATTTTACCTAAGGGTAATTGCTAAATTTCCTTATAGAAAATATAGATTGTAATAGAAAATATTTAAAAATCTATACAAAGATGTACTTTCGGTCGCCCATCACCACCCATTCACTATTATGTTCATATTGAAAAGTACCTTTATTCTCTAATCAAAGCTTATTCTCCACAGACATGCCTACCTGTAAGACCTCCCACTCACCCCATGTTATTTGTGATCCTTTTATGATGTGTATCCGCAAGGGGATTCCAGGTTGAGTGGGTCCCTATGCTTGTCCTAAGGAGGACTTACTGGATCAGGTGGTCCGGTTTGGTGACTTCCTTGATTCCTTGTCATCAAACTCTAATTGCATGGAACGTTGCTTGTGATATCAAACACTGGTTTGTCTGGTCCTGACTTGATTATTATAAGCCATCTTTCTACAGCTGGAATATTGCCGAGTGCAGCATTTAATAACAAATAAATGAATCGTGTTGTGGGTCAGTTTCTGTATATATGATAACAATCAGTACAGACATGTTCTTTCTTAAGAAAAGTGCCATTGCCAAGAATTTGTAATCATGGTTATTGATTCCTTTTTAGTAAACGATTTAGTTACGTAAAATATGAAGTTTATTCAAATCAATTTCTCGTGTATTGTTTATTGATATATTAAAGATTTTGTTTATTTTGTGAAAAGGGTACCAAAAATTAAACTATGCCCACTGCAATGTGTTGTCTAGCCAATGTCATTGTGTTGCTTTCTTGCAAATACTTATTTACTGAAAGGTGTAAATATTGTTTTATTTATTTCATATTCATTAAGGTTATGAGTTTTTTGTTCCAAAGTTTTAACTTTGTTATGTGATTATGTTCCTAAATACCACTGACAAAAAACTGTGATTAATGACCTTTTTTGGATTGAAAACATTGTGCTACAATATCAGTATCAGGTGTCTTGAATGTCCAAGACCAAAGGTCAAATGTTTTATATTGACCAGTCCACTGTGATGTACCGTATATCGCTGTGTATAAGGCGACCCCAAGTGTAAGACGACCCCACTGTACACGCCTTTGAAATAAACCCAAAATTCTATACTCCATGTATAAAGTGACCTGGAATGAAGCACATCACAAGTGCGCACACAAACAATATATGCAATAAAAATATGTTTATCTTGCTGAAAGTGAAACAACTGGAAAAAAATGTGAGATCTTCCATTCCGCGTATAAGACGTGTGTAAGACGACCCCACTTCTTAACCCCCTCATTTTAGGTACGAAAAACTCGCCTTATACACAGCGATATACGGTATATACATTTTAACAAGAGTGTGATTGACCAATCAATTCCCTGGAATAAATATGAATTCTGTAATTATGAGAAATGGTATGTTTTCCATTTTAGGACCCGACCTGGAGGGTTGTGAGGTCAAGTGTAATAACTTCTGATATTTGCATACTAATTAGTTATTCTTAAAGCGGATTGGTCAGTTGAAGCACAATGTAAGTTTTGAACCTGACAGTGTCAAGCATCATGTATGTAATTATCCCCCGCCGCGCGAAAGCGCGAAGCGGGGGATATAGTATTCACGACCGTCCGTACGTCCGTCCGTACGTCCCACCTGTTTGTTGCCGCGATATCTCAAGAACTAAACACTGGATTGTCTTCATATTTGGAACTATGGTGTATATACAGACTCCGCAGACACCAGTCGGTTTTGGTGACCTTGATCCCATTTTCAAGGTCACAGCAGACAAATCTGCTTTTAGAGTTGGAAAACGGTGTTGCCGCGATATCTCAAGAACTAAACACTGGATTGTCTTCATATTTGGAACTATGGTGTATATACAGACACCGCAGACACCAGTCGGTTTTAGTGACCTTGACCCCATTTTCAAGGTCACAGCAGGCAAATCTGCTTTTGGAGTTAGAAAACGGTGTTGCCGCGATATCTCAAGAACTAATCGCTGGATTGTCTTCATATTTGGAACTATAGTGTATATACAGACACCGCATACACCTGTCAGATTTGGTGACCTTGACCCCATTTTCAAGGTCACAGCAGGCAAATCTGTTTTTGGAGTTGGAAAACGGTGTTGCCACAATATCTCAAGAACTAATCGCTGGATTGTCTTCATATTTGGTACTATGGTGTATGTGGCGGGGGATATTTCGTCACTCTGTGACAAATACTTGTTCAACATTCAGATTAATGTTGTGATAAATATTTTAATGATACCTATGTCCAGTATTTTTTAGTCTGATGTTTTGTAATAACAGGTGTCTTCCTTACAGTGTGGTTGTTGGTCATTGTGGAACTTGTCAATAGATATTGTGTTTGTTTGATATATGATAGTCAGATCCCTGGTATGCTCTAGTGTTCCATTGCACACAGAGCTCTTTGCGCTACGACTGTCATTAGTCAGTGTTGGAGTATGGGAGTCATGACTGTGTTAGCAGTACGACTGTCAAGAGTCAGTGTTATAATTGTGTTAGCCCTGAGATCGCTTTGTGAAACGGAGCCATGATCTGTGGTGAGTTCTCTCAATCTTGGCAGAGAAGTCAGCTGTTATGGACGTCAATTAGATATCCGGCATCTTCCTGAGGCAAGAGAGTTAACTGACTATAAAAGGCCAGTTTCCACCCTTGCCGAACTAGGCTGGGATTATGGAGTTACATTTTGGCTGGACTAACGAGTCTATGCATAGTCCAATCAAAATCGCGCACCAAAATCAAAATCCGGTTCATAAACTGTCATGCAGAGTACGGTCGATTGCAGGATTTGCAAAGCATGTGCATCGCCAACTCGTTGTCAACAGATATTTTCCAAATCTTTTCATGTTTTAATCCAGGTGCTCACATGATCTGATGTACTTGGCAAAGTAAGAACCGTTTTATCACAAAATACATATTGATTCTTGATCAGATCGTCTTGACTGGGCGACACCATTCTGTTTGAAACAACGCATGTGATACGAGAGGTGGAATCTGATTGGTACATATGGGAGAGGCATAGAATGGACATTCCCTGGTGGCGCTACGATCAAGCCCAGGAATTCCAGCCTAGTTCGGCAAGGGTGGAAACTGGACTTGTAAAGTCAGTTGACACTCTTGCCTTGGGAAGATGATATCCGGTGGAGATTGCCAGATCTGTGGCATGTTCCATGTGTTTGCTACTCTGCACACATTGTGAGAATGTTTGCCTTTACTAAGGTGGTTAAGATCGTGCATCACTTAAATGTGCCCTGCTCTTGATAATAATCCCATCCAACATGATAATACTGAAAATGGTTGGTGTCTAAAAATTTTCATTAAAATATACAAAAAGCAAAAGTTGACACAGTCATTCCAACATACAACATTAGGAAAACATGAGAGGTAGGTAATATAATATACCGTATTCAACGTAATAAGCGCCCAGGGCGCTCTCAAAATTAGAAATAGGGGGCTTTTATTAGAATATTATTTTGGTGAAAAAAACAGAGTTGAAAGATAAATTTCATGGTCATGCTGACAGCCTGAAATGTTTATGTATGACATACATTTTTCCAGAATTTTCTTGCCCATAATTAAGGGTGCATATAGCACATGAGTGCGTAATACACGCGAATAAATAAGTCTTAGGTACATTGATCAATCGGAAGGGGTGCTAATTGGGATTGTTCACCAGCCAATATATCAGCAAATGTCACCGTGGGCGCTTATTAGAGTGGGGCGCTTATTACGTCGAATACGGTATATACAATATATAAGTTTAAAGTATCTTAAGTTAAATCTAGGAATTATTTTATACATCATAACTCTGCTTCCAGACAAGTATTTTACTCAGTATAAACATTTTATTGACATTTTGTAATGTATACATTTCTACTTTACATGATCATGTTACTGTGTTGTGTTCTGTTCTGAAGATGATATATTTTGGTGAGTGAGTGTGTGAGTGAGTATGGATTAACATGGCTTTGAGCAGTGTTTCGGTTATTTCACATCATGTCAACTTAATATGTTACGGGTCTTGGATGTTTGCCACTGTGGTGAAACCTATGCTAATAGGTAAGGTTCTGACAAACCAAGTAACATGATCAGGGCCAATCTGGGATTTTAACCCACGATAAGAATGCTAAATAACCGCCTGCCTGCTAGCCTGTGACTTGCAAAATTTAGGTCGGGATAAATATTCTTAAATGTCCCAGACTTACTGAAATTTTAAGGGTGATTTTTATCCACACCACTTAGTTGATCACAATGCAAATTGTTCTCCCTTTTCTGGAGATAAATACGACCATAACAAATCAAAGTAGTATCCATAATGAATCAAGGTTGCAAGGTTGTGAGATCAGAGTTCCCCCCCTTCATAATATTTGACTCGAAGCTCCTTCCCAGTGCATGACACCTTAGTTACACACTCGGTATAGAGAGCTCCACCAGCGGGATATCGCTGTGAGGAGCTTGTATTTGACTCATGATTTGCCATTTGAGCTTACTTTATTGATACCTTCGCAGAGCGAAATGTCTAAAGGAACTGTCGCTTATTTAAGCTAGTGTAATTTGAAACTGACTAGTAATTTATGTCGAACGAGCAGACGTGGCCAGCAATAATTTTAGACTATTTCACACACTGCCCACAATCATAGGTTTCCGGCACACCTTAGGGACGCAACTCTGCAGTGCCTAAGATGACACAGATGGCCAGCAATAATTTTAGACTATTTCACACACTGCCCACAATCATAGGTTTCCGGCACACCTTAGGGACGCAACTCTGCAGTGCCTAAGATGACACAGATATCTTATAGGTGAATGGTGCCAGGTTCAGCCTGAATTGGGGAGACAGATGGCCCTGTGGAAGGTGCTGCCACTCATTGTGACCCATAGCAGTGGTCATGGGTCAAATCCCATACTTTTATTCTTCATCATGTGTTTTAAAGTGCTAATCCACTACGATACCAAACTGCAGTCTAACATGGATACCCCACTAAGAGTATACCGACTCCGAGCCGACCAGTCCTTGTTTTATCCCTTAATGTTGAATGCCAGGCAGGGTAACAAGAACCATCTTTTGGTGTGACATGGCCGGGAATAAAACCACCAACCCCTCTCTCTGGACAGATGCTCTGTCCACTAGACCACAGAGGCGGTCTCTCCCACATAAAAAGCTGAGATGCTGTGATGTAACTGAATCACTGTTACGAAACAGTGTCAATCCCAACTCACTCACTCGGTGTGAATCTGAAGGAATAGTTCATGCATTATTTTTTCAAGAGATTTTGCCTGTTGGATTTGAGTTGAGATATTGTTGTGTTTAAGTTTAATCAATAATTTGCTTGTCCAATGTGTGTAAATGAATGATTGACACACAGAATGAACCCAGTGAAGTTAATAATTGAAATATTCCAATGTTGAATATGTGATATCTTTGTCAATAAAGTTGTTTTTGCAACAACATATGTCATTAGTCTCATTATGTTTTTTATATGGGCCTTTTGTTAATAACTTGGAGCTTGTGTACCATGTGTTTTATTGGGCAAGTTATAAAGAATGTGCTTATTTCTCATTTTTGTTTTTCAAAACACAAATGCACACACACACATGTGCATGCACACACATGCGCATGCACCCAAAAGCACACACTGAAGATTAATTAACTGGATCCTGTGCTCTGCTATACCTTCTTAAAAATTTAGATTGAGATTTACTAAGGGGGAGAGACAGTTTTGAGAAGAGTGACAGTTTTCAAAAGCCTGTCAGTTCGATAGATGAATGATCAAAGTAGGTACAATAGGTCAGTGACAATTAGGAGATGACCATACTGTGTTTTCAATGTAGTGAGATACGTTGCCTGCAAACTTTACAGCTCTAATTTGAAATTAAAAAGAGTATTTTCCGAAGTCATGGTAGAATTATAACCATAAACTATACTCTGCTGAAAAAGAAACGCAAAAGTAGTGCTGACAGAGTGTTGCTGACATCCATACATAATTAATACCAAAAATGAATTGGGATTGATTTGAGTGGAAAGAATTATGTACTGCAGAAATTTTGTAAAATGATGGAAAAATCTCAAACACAACCATGTGAGAGCCTGGCACCGAAACTCACCAACATGACATGCACGTGCAACATCACTTGTTGGGCAATAAAAACCTTAGGTTTTCATTTGCTTACCATCAATAACTGGCAATACCAGGATTGCGTAGATCAGCCAAAACAGTGAGGAACCATTTACACACTAAAGGTATTCATGCTAGATGACCAGTTCGAGGTGTCAGTTTGATGGACCTGCATCGTCGGCTGCGACGTTAATGGTGTCAAGGTCACAGAGTATGGACACCGCTGCGATTGAGACAAGTTTGGTTTAGCGATGCCATGCAGAAGGTAGACGTCATGTTTACAAGCATCGCGGGGAATGTTATGCACAAAACAGCATACAGGAAGTGGACAGCTTTGGTGGTCAAACATTTATGGGATGTACTGGTTCAACGATTGCAAGCACATCAGCAACAACTACAGGACCTCCGATCGTTGGCACAAGCACTGCAGGCAGAGTGGGTGAACACTCCCCAGACCACAATATGGGATCTGACTAATTCCATGAGACGACGATGACAGTAGGTTAAGGACTCTAATGGTGGCCAAACGATATTGAGAACTGATGACCTTCACCTTGAAAATCTACTGTTCCATGTGTACCATATGGGACCTGGGTCAATGACAAAGATGTGTGCCAATTGTGAACAATTGATGACCATCTGTTGATATTTACATGACATATATAAGATACATAAAAAATCTCTTTTGCTTACTTAGTATATTTACTTCACAAAACCATTTCACGAAACATACGATAAATCTTTTATATCTTATCCTGCCTCAATGGTTTCCTAAGGGTGCTCTGTGAATTGATAAAGAATTGATGAAGCAGCATAACTTTAAAAACCTTATGATGTATCATATTTCGTATTGAAGGATTTGTGGCTATATTATATAGCCACAAATCCTTCAATACAAAATATACTCCAAACTCGATTGAAAAGTTTATTTATTCAAAGCAAAATATGTATTATCTAATTTAGGGATAAAACATATGTACAAAAAGTAGAGGAAATATCTAATATGCAGTTATGTACATTTACCATGTTTACAGACGGGTTCGAACTTCCGTTTTACATGCTTCATGGATCCCAGTGTTTCAAACTTCCTGAAGCGTCTTGCAAATCAATGCCATTGTCGTCACGTGACTACATCATATGACCATCAAGATGGCGGCCCCCTCCAAGAACGTTTTTGCTTTGTGCTGCTGCATTGTGATTGTTTTCTTGCAGTGCCACGCCAGACCCCCAAATATCGTGTTTGTGTTGACAGATGACCAGGATGTTGCCATCGGAGGTCAGGTAGGCTGATGTCTCGGCGAACTTTGCAGTGTTATAGTTGTAAACGCTTGTTATCAGCTGGTTATCGATCATGGATCAGCTGACAATGACTAGCCGAGAACCGTGATGTAACGTTATGTCTTGTCAGTCCCACGCCATCGCGGCTGTTGGCTGGACGGTGACATGACAGCTGACCCGGGGTTTGTCAGTGGTGCCTTTAACGACAACCATGCTTTCTAACTCGAAGCATAGACCATATAATAGAGGGACGGCCCTCACCAACAGTTTATCATAAACCATCAGCGCTACTATCATATGGTCTCTGCTCGGGGTGGTTGTCGTTTGTTAAGACTCTGACACAGGGCGACGCAAATGGGTTATTGCTAAAACGGTACCTCAGCAAAACGTCACCGAGCTATGAAGCAGTAGTCTGTTGTACCAGAGACCATAAAATAGATTTATGTACGGGGAGGGGGGTTATTTATAGAAAACAGTATTATTTGAATCATGAAAATACAAGTTGGGGACGGACAAGTGATACTTGTACAAATATTTGGCCCCACTGTCAAAAAAAGTTAACTACGGCCTTGCAAATGCAGCAAAACTTAGCAGGGGCGGGTCAGCTCCTTGCACTGCAGTCTCGCTCATATGGGCTTATCTTCACGGACCACGTTTTTCTAGACTAACATCTAGTCTCTGAAATGAAATATTTTATCGAAAAAGGCAGGTGTAAAATTATAGTTTTGAATATAATAAAAAGGAGACCAGAAGCTTTCTTCATTTTCAGATACTGCGTTAATCAGGACCTGCCAAATATTATAGACTTGCTTGGGCTGTATTGGCTATATTTGTTTCAGGTTCACTTTGACGGACTATAACACTTTCCTACCAGTACTATTTGGCCCAAACCCTTAGGCCCTAGGATCCCTTCAAGATTTGAGGATTAATTGTACATTAAAATTGAATCTACATTTGTCAAGCTTTACTACCTGGGGTTAGAAATACATTTGCCTCACATTAATTCAGTATATATATGTGATAAATCAATATTCAAGTCTATGTCACCATGAATTTTGTCTACGTGTTGGGGTCTCCATGGCTATGAATTATTTTGGTTACAAGTTCACCTACAGCTGGGTGCACACATATATGAAACAACACAGTCCTCAATCTCATTAAAATCACATCTTAGTCCTCGCTACCGCTAAACAAAGATCTGGGGGCATCCCGTTACGGGTCACGTCAGGCTGATCTTGCTCGAACTTTGACCGACCAATGGAATGACCAATCAGAAGGCAGCTTTCTCGTGCTTTACGGCTTTAATTTCAAATTGGCGACTACGCTTTGAAACATATTTTGACAAATTCTCGATTAAAAATTTGAAACCTGAACAAAAGAACATTCTGGAATGGGTAATAGGTGGTCTAGATTGTATGGATTCAGTCGTTAAACCCGTAACTATCATCGGAATACGCGTGTTAAAGTTTTTGAGGATGCATGATTAGAAATCACATTCCGACTGTCACTTTTAGATCTGGTAAGCGACACTCTGATTGGTCGGATGAAAGGGTCGTTCTGACATGACCCATACTGGGATTTCCTCAGATCTAGCGAGAACTAAGGTCTGATTTTAATGAGATTGTGCAGTCCTATGATCCATGAATATTTTGCAATAATATAATTTTTTATTTTTTATTGATTGGTTATCATGGTTATATAAATTAATAATGTTTGTAGCACTAATACCAATTTCCCAAACTTTTTTACAGACTCCTATTCAAAAGATCACCAAGCTTATAGGAGAAAAGGGAATCATTTTTAATAATATGGTATGTATATACAAGGTTGACTTTACACAAAATACTTAAGTTGTATGTCCAGTAATTACATCTATACAAATATTTAACAAATGACAAAAATGATGTATTATTATGTTATTTAAATAATTATTGATGACAATAACTATTTCATATCACATTTAAACCGTAGTTCGTCAACTTTAGTTAACTTTTCTTTTCTGTAATATTAAGTAACAAGTACAGGCAAAGTGTAAACTAATAAAAGATAAAGACAGTAACTGAAAACAACATGTCCTATTCCATCTTATACTCCTTTAGAATATTATGTTGAATTTTCTAATTTTATTTAAATCACATAGGATCAATAAACTTAATAAGTTTCATTTCTTTCATCAGTTTGTGTCGAGCCCCCTCTGTTGTCCTAGCAGATCCAGTATCCTGACAGGGAAGTTTGTCCACAACCACGGCGCCCTGAACAACTCAGTAGCAGGCAACTGTAGCAGCCAACAGTGGCAGAAGCAGGAGGAAGGAGGAGCCTTTCCCGTCTACCTCAAGAAACAGGGCTACACTAGCTTTTTTGCTGGGAAATATCTTAACCAGGTAATCAGTTCTTTTGTTGTTTGGAATGCCTTTTTTGTTCCACCGATTGAAAATTCTGAAGAAAAAAAATCAGAAGGAATTTATTATACCGCTGATTGAAAAGATCACTTTGACAATGAAAATCGGAATTAATGATAAATCCTGCTGTCAGATTTCATATCTATAATATTTAATAAGTACCCAAACCAGGCCAAGCATTTTTTTTAGGAAATACTGATCTAAATCAAACAAAGATGATTAAAATAATTCTTTAAAAGATATTTTATTTTATTTTTTTCCATTTATGACCACCAAAGACACCCATTTTTAAAATATGCAAACCCCACCAAAAAAGAAGTCTGTTCTAAGGCCTCAAGTGATTGGGCGGTTCCAATTATATGACAAACCTAATAAAAGATACCAACACTTATTTAATAAAAAGAATTGATATCTTATAAAGTTATGGCCCTAGCCTTAGGTTTCTGACTATCAAATGGGACACATTGTCTTGGAAACCTAAATCATGACTATGGATACAAGGATTACATTTTGCTTACATAAATATTATGGGATTCGATTTTGATCGGTTTCGAAAAGCATCATCAAAAGATTTATATTTAAAGAGATATATGGCCCTTGTTTCTAATTATACCCAGCAAAGTCATAGTTGTTTATGATAGTAGGCATACATAGATGGTGGTTGATTACTGTGAGATAGTTTTATCACATGGTTATCCACAATAAGGAAGCAGTGAATATGGGTATCAGGCAGCCAAACCCTGGTTTCAAATGTCAGGTAGGGAGGAAGTGTCATTATTTGGATATACAGACATACAGTGTAAGAAAATAGGTAACTTTTTTAAAAACAATAACACCTTTATTGTGTCACCTGTATTGGAGAGCCATTGTGTGTCAGTCTGATATGATGAGGGGTCCTATGTTTGAATTTTTATTAGAAATTATTTATTTATAAACAGATCATGAATGTCCACCCCTAATGAACTTATCATGATTGTCGGCCCTAATAAACAGATCATGAATGTCAGCCCTAATAAACAGATCATGAATGTCCCCCCCTAATAAACAAATCATGAATGTCTGTCCAAATTACCAGCAGAGCATGAATGTCTCCCCCCCCTAATAAACAAGTCCTGAATGTCTGTCCTTATATTCAGATCATGAATATCCACCCCTAATGAACTTATCCTGAATGTCCACCCCTAATGAACTTATCATGAATGTCACCCCTAATAAACAAGTCATGAATGTCTGTCCTAATTAACAGATCATGAATGTCCACCCCTAATAAACAAATCATGAATGTCTGTCCTAATTAACAGATCATGAATGTCCACCCCTAATAAACAAGTCATGAATGTCTGTCCTAATTAACAGATCATGAATGTCCACCCCTAATAAACAAGTCATGAATGTCTGTCCTAATTAACAGATCATGAATGTCCACCCCTAATAAACAAGTCATGAATGTCTGTCCTAATTAACAGATCATGAATGTCCACCCCTAATAAACAAATCATGAATGTCTGTCCTAATTAACAGATAATTAATGTCCACCCCTAATAAACAGACCATGAATATCCACCCTTAATGAAGAAATCATGAATGTCCACCCCGAATGAACTTATCATGAATGTCCACCCCAAATGAACGAATCATGAATGTCCTCCCTAATAAACAGACCATGAATATCTGTACTAATAAACAGATCATGAACGTCCACCTCAATAAACAGTCCATGAACATGCACCTCAATAAACAGACCATGAACATCCACCTCAATAAACAGATCAACAGTGCTTATCCCACTGCCTGCTGCTTCCCTGGGTAGGCAGAGTGTTTTATCAGTTCTTGTTTGTGTTCTTCAGTATGGGTTCCCCAAGACGGGCGGAGTGAAGCACATCCCCCCGGGCTGGGACTGGTGGGTGGGGTTGGTAAGTACCATGCTGGCATCAATAGTTTAACCCATTTCAAGCCAGCTATTTCACTGATTGATTCGCCTACTCTGTGTACTGACAGAGTTTGAATATATGCATGTCTGTGTCATCAAACACACTGTTTTCATTGTTGTTTACAAAATTTTCTGCCATGTCAAGAAACCATGCAACTACTGTCTTGTCCTCTTTGATATCTCCATTGTATTATACCACTAAAAAATTGCCATGGATAAAGTGTTCACTGTCATGCCCTAGGTTCAAGTTTCCACATGGTTACATATAATGTGTGAAGCTCATTTCTAAGGTACCCCATCATAATATTGCTGGAATATTGCTAAAAGTGGCTTAAAACCCAACTCAGTCACACTTATCATGGATCCTTGTAGTACCCAAGGATATCTGGTGTAGTTGGGAGCTATTTTGACCAATGAGCACTCTGTGCTTGGCTTTCCTGTGTATGAGATATGAGTCGTTTCATGTTTTAGGTGGGAAACTCCCGTTACTATGGTTACAGTTTATCTGTGAATGGTACAGAAGAGGTGCACAAGCATGACTACAGAACTGACTACCTAACAGACATCATAGTACGATTCCCTGATTCTACACTCAGGCTGGACCAATCTATTTTTCTTGTTTCATGGATTAATTTTGAACTTTTCTTAATATAATTTTGTGAAATAATGTTCATAACTGTATGAAACCGAAATCATTAACTCACACTCTCTGGACAACACACGTTCTTGCAGGCAACATTTTATGAACATGATAAAATGTGGACTGAATATATATTCAAATATATACAGATGATGTACAGTCAAGTCTTGTTAATCCAACAATCGGCTTTATCCATCACTAATGATGGGACCTGTGAAGATTCCGGGGTAGAATAGGTCTTCAGCAACCCATGCTTGCCGTAAAAGGTGACTGTGCTTGTCATAAAATACAACTAACAGGATTGGGTGGTCAGGCTCGCAGACTTGGTTGATGCATTTCATCGATCCCAATTGTGTAGATTGATGCTCATGATGTCAATCACTGGATTGTCTGGTCAAGACTCAATTATTTACAGACCGCCGTCATATAGCTGGAATATTGCTGAGTGTGGCGTTAAACAACAAACCAACAACAACCAACCAACACTAATGATGGGAACCGATTAAATCGGTGCTATTTAGACCCGTTAATCTGACAGTCTAACAGGAAGTCAACATTAGCCACTAAGAAAGCTGCTTTTTTTAGCTTTGCATCACTAGTTTCAAACTAGCGACTTCTGTTCCAGACCATTCTTTCAAAAGTATTTTGGATCAGTCAACAGTAGTTTCGTGTTAAGCCTCTGAGGTTGCTTGATTAGAAAACATATTCCGCTAACAATGAAACAACAATATGAATATTTCATTTTTTTTACGTGTTTGTATCATTATCTATCATGTAGTTGTCCGATTTTCGATCACGAATGTTGATACAACTTAATTATGTTTATCCGACATACTCGTTAATCTGACATAATCATATGCAATCAACCAAGTCAGACTACGGGACTTGACTGTATAACACACATAAATTTGCTGACTCTGCATAACAGCACCGACGAGCCATGGACTTCCTGCGTATCCAACACAGTGGGTCAGCCCCTTTCTTCATGATGATGTCCACCCCTGCCTGCCACGGCCCCTTCACCCCCGCCCCACAGTACAGTCAGAACTTCTCCGACCGCTCAGCTCCCAGGAATGGCAGTTTCAATATACATGGAAAGGTAAAAATGTTTCCAAAAAGAAAATACAAAATCTGCAGCAGAATGAGTACTAGGGGTGCAGGTATCCATCCGTCATGCAGAGTTGTGTCCCTTAGGCATCCAAAAACCTTTGATAAGGAGTTCGAATTTCAGATTTGTCATGTTTCTTGGTTTGTCAGCACCATGCATCACTTCAGGCTTTCTCCCCACATGAAACTGACTGACCGTGTTGTAACTGAAATATAGTTTAATGCTGGTTTAAACTCCTTCAATGGCTTAGACCCTTGTTAATCAAACACCATTCCAAGATTCCAAGAAGGAATGTGTTTTTGTTTCTATCAGTTGTCACTGGTGATGGTTAGGCAAGACTTTCTTGGTTGATGGACAAAAGTCCTGTTTGGTATGTTGGAAAAAGTACGAAAAGACACTTCAGATATTTTGTTTTCTTCAAAAATTTATTTTGAGTAGTTACCATGTGTGCAGTCTTCATGAAGCTGGTCTCATCAGTGTTGCCATGGTAATAGTTTAATGGATTGTATGTACCCTCTTTTTGTGATGAATATAAATGTTTGAAGTCAGCGGAGTTACAAAGAAATATTGCTTTTCAGATTTTACTTTTTTCCCATTTTTCATTATTTTATGGTCAGCAGAATCGGTAAACAATTATAAGAGTATTCCCTGCTAAAGAAAATAATAGTCTTAGTTCTCAGGCACCGACCCCATCATCATAAAGTCTGCCGAATGTTCGTTTTTATTTCAATTTTCAAAAAGATAAAAACAAATCTAATTCTAAAAAACAATGTGATCCCATATAGCACAGAGTTACTTCCCTTTACATGCACACTGCTTTACTGCACATCTCGTGTTATGGTCATGGCGGCAATAGGAGTTTGTATGCCTGTTTATTTGGGAGGCCCTTTCCCAGGTTGATGGTACACAACTGTTTATTTGGTTACATACTAGTTTCAACAAGCAAAAAAACCGCAAAAAAACCCGCCCGTCTGCACTATATTTTTTCTATATTTTTAAAAGTCATTGCCTGAGAACCATTTCTTTTTATTCAGGACAAACACTGGCTGATAGAGAACGCTCTCACTCCAATTCCTGAAAAGATTATTCAGAATATTGATGATATATTCCGTAATAGGTGAGTAGAGAGGCACCGACAGTGTTAACTTCCATTACAGACCTGCAGGCGTCGTCAATACTTCATTGGTTTGTATGCATTACATTCATCCATCACCTATGAAGAGATATGACCGCTTTGTGATGTAGTCACTATTTGTGTCTAAATCAATGAAGCCATGGCCTATAGTTCCAGAGAGATGGAAACAGTAAATGTTCATCACACAAACAGAGGATATTATATTCGTGTTCATGTCATACTATTTTTATGACACAAGAGTAAAAATTCTGGTATTTCCCTTGCAATTGCTCTGGAAATACCGAATTTAGACACAAGTGTTGTAAATATGGTATGACATGAACATGAATATAATGTTCTGTTTATTACCAAAGATGTCTTCATACAGAGATGAATTTTAGTGTTTACCTATAAGGACAGCAAGTTGCAACAACAGCGGAACTACAATTTTTCGAATGTCAACAATTTTCAGCTATGACGTCCTTTCTAGTGTGACGTCATTCCAAACTAACATCACAATAAGATTTGAATGACGTCAACAATGCCGTCCGGGTGTTGGAAAAAAGACACTGTTGTCTCGTGACTTTAAATGACCCAAGGGCACATATGATTTTTATGACCCCTGATATGTTTGCCCCTGTAGGTAATAAACAGCTGTATTTCATGTCAGCCTGACCGCCTCCGTGGTCTAGTGGTAGAGCGTTCGCCCGGAGAGCAGAAGGTCCGGGGTTTGATCCCCGGCCGCGTCATAACAAAAGACGTTAAAAGATGGTACTTGTTGTTACCCTGTCTGACGCTCGGCATTGAGGGGCTAAGATAAGGACTGGTCGGCTCGGAGTCAGTATACTGTGTCTGAGAGGGGTATTCATGTTAAACTACGGCATGGTATCTCAGTGAGCTAGCACTATAAATCGGCATCAGTCAGGACTAGTACAAGCAGCCACACAAACACACACACGTACATGCACGTCGCTATATAAGGGCAATAATCTTGGACGTGACGTTAAACCCCATTTCACCTCACCTCTTGTCAGCCTACCCTACACATTGCCTCAATATCAGTCAATGGTACGATGTGCACCAAGGTCACAAAGTGAAGTAAAGTGCACATGACTTCCATGAGTATTATGTGACCTGATTTCATGGCTTGACTTTCAGTAGACACATGTCACATGACACCACATTGGCCATTTGTAAATATTTATAAGTGTATTGATGATGACCCTCACGAACACAAATGTGAAATTGCAGATGGCAGTATATAAATATACTGGGTTCTATCAGGGTACATGTGACAAATTGACAAATTCAGAGTAACATATCATATTCGACGTAATAAGCTCCCAGGGTGCTCTCAAAATTAGAAGTAGTGGGCTCTTATTAGAATATTATTTTGGTTGAAAGATATATTTCGTGGTTTATGCTGACAGCCTGAAATGTTTATATACGGCAGATATATTTTTCCAGAATTTAATTTCCCATAAGGGTGCATATAACACACGAGTGCGTATCATAGATAAATAAATAAGTTTTGTGTACATTGATCAATCGCAAAGGGTGCTAATTGGGATTGTTCACCAGCCAATTTATTAGCAAATATCGCCGTGGGCGCTTATTACTTTGAATACGGTAGTTTCTTTTTGTGTTGGAGTGAGTGAGTGAAGTTTAATTTATGCCACTTTAAACAGTATTCCAGTTATGCCATGGCATGTCACCTCAATGTGGGAGGAAAGCCCGAAGTGATGCATGTCTTAGATGTTTACCATTTTGGTGAAACCCATGAACATGAGTTTGCTGCAGACAAACCGAGAAATGCCAAGTTGTGTTTTATCAAAATTTTCAGTAAATTCAGGGAAAGATAACTCTTGGGACTATGAATTGAGTTTCATACAACCAAGAGCTTAACACATGCAGGATAAACTAGTGAATGAGTGAGTGAGTTGGGTTTAACGCCGCCTTTTACAGTATTGCAATTATATCATGGCGTGTCAGCTTAATGTGGGAGGAAAGCCAGAAGTGATGCAGGTCTCAGATGTTTATCACTTCGGGGAAACCCATGAGAACGGGTATGACGCTGACAAACCTAGAAACATAATCGGGGTGAACTGGGATTCTAACCCATGATCATAGGTTTCTTGCATGCCAAAGGGACACAACTCTGCACAGCGAATGACTGGGTCACCTGTGTCCCATTTTGTGTATAAAGTGATTTGAAATAATGATTGCCTAATCAGCGCCAATAATTGCTTTGTTTTGTTTTTTGCATATAATATTTGGTTCTTTTGTCTTTGGGTTGGTTCAGTTATGTAACCTGTCAATGTAAAACTTTAAGCTGTCAAAATGGCTGAATCAAAGTGTTTTACTTAATAAAACTTCGGACACATTTGTCAGGTCTGCATGAATGAATGTTGGTTAGATAAGTTCCGATTCCTCAGGGCATATGGTGAGATGTACCCTGTGTGTGAGCCTATGTACCCCTTGGCTGATGGCTTGGGGTACATAGGCACACACCTTGGGTACATCTCACCACATACCCTTCGAGATCTAAAACTTATAATGTATCTCCCATGACCTGTGTCGGGGGCACAGGTGGCCCAGTTGTCTAAAGCGCCGCAATTCGCTGTGCAAGGTTGCCTATGATTGTGGGTTCGAATCCTGGTTCGCCCTGATTATGATTCTAGGTTTGTCAGCACCATACCTCTGCTTGTGGGTTTCGCCGAAGTGGTAAACGTCTGAGATCTGCATCACTTCGTGCTTTCCTCCCACATTAAGCTGACACGCTGTGATATAACTGCAATACTGTTAAAAGCGGTGTTAAACACAACTCACTCACTCACAACCTGTGTCATATATCTGTTATATATACTTCATGACAGTGCAATTGTCTCTCGATGGGACTGTTCATTTGACCTCAATAGAGGATTCTGGGTTAGAATAAGTCCCTTAGCAACCTTTACTGGTCGTAAAAGGCGATAGGATTGGTAGTCAAGACTGGTGACTTGATTGCATGTCATTGTATCCGACGCTGATCATTGCTCAGTCACTGGATTGTCTGGTCCACACTTGATTATTGACAGGGAGTCCTCATATAGTTGAGATATTGCTGTGTGTGGCATTCACAACAAACAAACTAACAAATTTACAAATCGTCTACACAGGTGGAGGACGTTGTTGTCAGTTGAGGACATGGTGGAGGACGTGGTCAACACACTGGACAAGAAAGGACTGTTGGACAACACCTACATATTCTTCTCCTCAGACAATGGCTATCACTTAGGTTGCTACCATACCTTAAGAGATTTCTACAACCATAACAAATAGATTACAACTTATGAAAACATAATTATGTCTTAAAAGTAGTGTTGAAGTAGTAATGAAATGAAAGACAATATGGTTTGAGATGGCCACTACCAGAGAGTTACTTCCATCATTAGCTTACTTTGTCTTCGTTATTAACAGTCGCAGACGTAACGTGTACGCGTGACGGCTCTGCCCACTCTTGTACGCGAGACGGGTGCGGACGGCAGTACCCAGTGAAGCGCTTGATAAATTCAATCACCGTGGCTGTGCTGTCACCCGCGACCTCTGAGAAAGTAATTAAAGCGCTATGTAAAATCACCCACTGCCGAGAGCGCCCCCAATCCTCCCAAGGTCGTGACTGGCGGGTCGCGGGTGGCGGGTGTGCATCGAGGCATCCGCCTTCCAATCTTCACATACCCTATTTTTGAACCTGATAAGACATGTGATTAAGGCTAAAAAAATAATAGTCTTGGTTCTCAGGCACCGCCTGCATTATCATTAAGTTAATCCTTTAATATTCCAAAATCAACGGTAATCTGTATTCCAGTATTTTACTCATCAAGGAATACATTTATGTAGGGAGGCCCTTTCCCCGGTTGATTATTCTTTGTTTATTTGGTTACACAACTGTTTATTTTATTTTTTTAAGCCTAAAACCGCTACCAGCTAAAAAAGGAGTTTAGTTATGTTCCACCTTTGTTTAACAGTGTTAGATGTTGGGTCGGCAGATCTATTTACCTTGCAATAAACAATAAAACACCTTAATTCCTTATATATCAGAGATCACAAGGAGTCTTGACTAGAATGATGTAACCAATCATGTTCACTGCACAAACCATGATTTGGTATATATATTTTCTATAACATGCAGTTGAGGAGAATCTTTGGTTATCATCTACATGTAGCAGGGCAGGTTAACCTCTGTGGTCATGTGGACATGGCGTCTGTCTGGTTAACGTCTTTGGTCATGTGGGCAAGGCGTCTGTCCGGTTAACCTCTGTGGTCATGTGGACAAGGCATCTGTCCGGTTAACCTCTTTGGTCATGTGGACAAGGCATCTGTCCGGTTAACCTCTGTGGTCATGTGGACGAGGCGTCTGTCCAGTTAACCTCTTTGGTCATGTGGACATGGCGTCTGTCCGGTTAACCTCTTTGGTCATGTGGACAAGGCGTCTGTCCGGTTAACCTCTTTGGACATGTGGACAAGGCGTCTGTCCGGTTAACCTCTGTGGTCATGAGGACAAGGCATCTGTCCATTTAACCTCTGTGGTCATGTGGGCAAGGCGTCTGTCCGGTTAACCTCTTTGGTCATGTGGACAAGGCATCTGTCCGGTTAACCTCTGTGGTCATGTGGACGAGGCGTCTGTCCGGTTAACCTCTTTGGTCATGAGGACAAGGCATCTGTCCGGTTAACCTCTTTGGTCATGTGGACAAGGCGTCTGTCCGGTTAACCTCTGTGGTCATGTTGGCAAGGCGTCTGTTTGGTTAACCTCTGTGGTCATGTGGACAAGGCATCTGTCCGGTTAACCTCTTTGGTCATGTGGACAAGGCGTCTGTCCGGTTAACCTCTTTGGTCATGTGGACAAGGCGTCTGTCCGGTTAACCTCTTTGGTCATGTGGACAAGGCGTCCGACCTTGGATCAGAAGATCTGTGGTCCAAATCCCATCTAAGGACACAGAAATTTTATGGCCACTACTTACTGCTTACTAGTCCTGCACCAGACTGTGGAATTTATATTTTTTAGGTATTTTTTTTTTACTTAAAGCCTAGGCAAGTCTAGATCAAAGTAACCATGTCTAGTTTGCTTGATTTCATTTGAAAACAGCAGAAGAGGAAAGGTTCTTTTGAATTTTTTAAAAATATTATTCTAAAGACATGTTTTCACTGACTAAATATGAAAACAGCAGAAGAGAAAAGGTTCTTTAAAAATTTTTTTTTATTATTTTAAAGACATGTTTTTTATAGACGAACTGCTTATATTCATGAAAATGTAGCAGCTAAATTTGTTGCTTAACCTTTAGCCTGCTGAATTGTTTTAGCATAAGATGCTGTAAACTGGTAAAGAGGGTGGACGATTTCAAACAGTTGGTGCTTCATTAAACAAGGGCCAATTGAAGAAATATATTCCTGATAGAAAACTACACATTACTATGTAAAAGTTTTCTGATGTTTTCAATCATACCAAGGTTAAGACCAAAGCCAACACAAAATTTGTAAAATTTTGCGAACTTGACTGAATTACGTTATTGAAGGTGGTTTATCTTTCTTGTTAGGAACCTTTTTAAATCGTTAAATTTGTACAAATTGATTTCAATAATCATATCTGTGATATGTTAATTTTAACTAAGTAAAGATTTGATGATTTTTATTACAAAGAGTTATACATCCACGTCAATAATTCTAGAAAATTAAGTTAGATGTAACAAAATTATTGTAATAGTCTTATGGGACCACTATACATGAGGAGTTGTTTGTTTAACGCCATTGCCATGATCGTACAAGTTACATCTAATTGATGAAGTTACGATTCAGATTGTTTTTGTTTAGAATTAATTACATTGAAATTTGCTAATTTTTAGAAATTAAGGAACTTGAGTGTTTTCCTTTCGTCAGCAAACCAAAAATTATGATCGAATATGAAAAATGATAAAATGATAAAGAAATATCGGAATGCATGCCGCTCAATGTGAAGTGCCAAAATTAAACAATGGCCGACACTTTCTTAACTCGCGATGTATTCTTTTTGAGATAAATAAACTACTGAAAATTTCGATAATTTGCAAGCTGAGTATTTATGCATACCATGCATAACTTTAAATATACGCAAAGCCTACTCCTTAAACAGTTAAAACGAGTTTCATTTGGGGGTGTCCTTCAACTATGTGCCTGTCAACTGAGTTCGGCATTCGCATTGAGAGCTTTAATACTTGCTGTACTATATGTGTTTTTTGCCTTCAGGACAATTTTCTCTCCCTATGGACAAACGTCAGCTGTATGAGTTTGACATACGAGTTCCGCTCATGGTGAGAGGCCCAGGGATCAGACCAGGCCAGATCAGGCAGGTGAGTAGATGTGACAGTGCCACTGGAGCGTCCTTCATGGTGTGATGCCATGCATCAGTCCAGGGTGGTTCAGGGTTGGTCAGGGCTGGTCAGGGTTGGTCAGGATTGGTCAGGGTTGGTCAGTTTGACAACATCTTCCCGGGGCAAGGGAGTTAACCGACTTTAAATATCCAGTATCCACCCTTGCCAAACAAGGCTGGAATTTCTGGGCTTGATCCAGAACCACCAGTGACTATTACGAGTTATGTCCCTTCTATGCCTCTCCTATGGACCAATCAGATTCCACCTCTCTTATCATTTGCATTTGCTTCAAACAAAATGGCAGCGTCCGGTCAAGACTATCTGATCGATAATCAAGATCTATATTGTGATACAACAGGTCTTACATCACGGAGCGCATCAAATCATGTGAGCACCTTGATTAAAAACATGAAAAGATTTGGAAAATATCTATTGAGTTGGCGGTTCACATGCTTTACAAATCCTGCAATCGACTGAAATCTGCATGACAATTTATCAACCGGATTTTGATTTCATTGCGCTATTGTCATTGGACTATGCATAGACTCGTTAGTAATATATATTACCAGCCTAGTTCGGCAAGGGTGAACTGGACTTTTATAGTCAGTTAACTCACTTGCCCCGGGAAGATGGTTTGACAATGGCGTTGCTGCTTATTGTGTGGGGCCATGAATCAGTCCATGGTGGTCAGGGTTGGTTGAGGATTGGTCTGGTTTGGTTCAGGATTGGTCAGGGTTGGTCAGGGTTGGTTCAGGATTGGTCAGTTTGACAAAGAAGTGCTGCTTTTTGTGTGTGGCCATGCATCAGTCCAAGTTGGTTCAGTTTTGGTCAGCTTGACAATGACATGCTTACTGATGTACATTACACCTGACCTTTACCTTACTGGTTTACACAAAATATTGCTTAATTCAGGAAGAGAAGTCATGGATGTCAACTTCTTTATTCAGCCTGGTCCACGGAATTATTGAACGCCAAGTATATATTACTATAAAAAAACAAACTCCATGTGTTTGTTTTTTCTAGTTATGGTACTGGGCTTTCAATAATTCAGCTAAACCCACCATTTTACAATGGGAGAAAACGGGGCATAATCGCCGACATTTGGGTTATCAAATTTGCTAAAATACAGATGCTAACAGTATTTCATTTAATTCCATGTATTCTGTGGATGATTTCATGACAACAGTGAACTGACACGAAATATAAATGCACATATCACTGTTGAAATTGGGGTGTGTGTCTTTGTTTACATTTCACTGATGTGACGACCACTTTTGAGTCTCGAAACAGCTTAGATAATGTTTTCCTTCACTAAAAGTAACAATGGACTTTATCCTTGTGCGTATACATTGCAAAAGCAATTATGAAAATGCTAAGAAAAAATTGTAACTGCCCTTTTTTCTATAGTAAATACATGTTGTGTCGGTCATGTTCGGCTAGTGGGCAGTCATTGCCTGGGTTAGTGTAGCGCCAGCGCAGCATACCCAGGGAACCAGGCTGTTTCTTTATTATGATGTACACAACGTTGTGTTCCTCATAATAAGGGACGGTCGGTTAGCCTAGTGGTTAAAGTGTTCGCTTGTCTCGCCGAAGACCCAGGTTCGATTCCCAACATGGGTACAATGTGTGAAGCTCATTTCAGGTGTCCTCCGCCGTGATATTGCTGGAATATTGCTAAAAGAGGCGTAAAACCATACTCACTCACTCACTCACTCCTCATACTAAAGGTGAGGTGAGGTGAAGGTGAAATGGGGTTTAACGTCGCGTCCAAGATTATTGCACTTATATAGTGACGTGCATGTACGTGTGTGTGTTTGTGTGGCTGCTTGTACTAGTCCGGACTGATAACAATTTATAGTGCTAGCCCACTGAGATACCATGCCGCAGTTTAACATGAATACCCCTCTCAGACACAGTATACTGACTCCGAGCCGACCAGTCCTTGTTTTAGCCCCTTAATGCCGAGCGCAAGACAGGGTAACAACAAGTACCATCTTTTAACGTCTTTTGGTATGACGCGGCCGGGTATCGAACCCCGGACCTTCCGCTCTCCGGGCGGACGCTGTACCACTAGACCACGGAGGTGGTCCCTCATAATAAAGAAGTTGACATCCATATATTCCCTTCCTTATGTTTTGATGAAATAAAGCCTTCCTGTGTGTTGGCAACAGTGGCATGCCATGACATAAGTTACTGTTATTTGTGACTTCATGTTACCTGTTTATTGGCTACCGTAAATGACTATAGATAAGACAAATTTTGAGGACCAGAAAAAAAGATTCTGTCGAAAGGGTTCGCTTTATATGTATGGGTTACACTTTCATCAAACTCTTTTTCTGTTGGTAAAAAAACTACATCATATTGCTTCAGATGAATGAACAACGCTATACCAAACTTTGTCAATGAAAATGATGATTAGAGTTAATGGACAGAGTGGTATTTGAACAACTTGAATCGAACTTGGTGGGACTGCCATTTTGCCAGAGTGTGGTCGTCCTAGAAATGTTTAAAAATAACATCATGGTCACAATTGGTCCTGTGCCATGATCGTGGAATTTATGTTTTATTAAATTATTTCTAAACAATCTTATAAACCCACATTGGCTGAAAGCTTGCTTTACTATTTGCAGGATCCTGTGATGAACATTGATCTCGCCCCCACATTTATTGAGCTGAGTGGTTCCACCGTCCCCGGAACGGTAGATGGCTTGTCCCTCGTTCAGATGCTGCTCTCACTTCCTTCGTCAGTCCCTCCGCCGCCGTTCCGGACCAAGTTCCTTGTGGAACACACCGGGGAGTACTCCTATGCTGTTGCAGGATGTCCACAGTATAAAGGACAGTTCATGGATGTTAGTGGACATGTTATATGTTATATCCAACTTGTTGCTGTATCTGATAGTCACTGTTATATCCAACTTGTTTCAGAGGTGTGACTGGTTGGTCCCTAACAGTTCATATGGAATTCTGTTTGTGTGTTTCAGAGGCGTGACTGGTTGGTCCCTAACAGTTCATATGGAATTCTGTTTGTGTGTTTCAGAGGCGTGACTGGTTGGTCCCTAACAGTTCATATGGAATTCTGTTTGTGTGTTTCAGAGGTGTGACTGGTTGGCCCCTAACAGTTCATATGGAATTCTGTTTGTGTGTTTCAGAGGTGTGACTGGTTGGTCCCTAACAGTTCATATGGAATTCTGTTTGTGTGTTTCAGAGGCGTGACTGGTTGGTCCCTAACAGTTCATATGGAATTCTGTTTGTGTGTTTCAGAGGTGTGACTGGTTGGTCCCTAACAGTTCATATGGAATTCTGTTTGTGTGTTTCAGAGGCGTGACTGATTGGCCCCTAACAGTTCATATGGAATTCTGTTTGTGTGTTTCAGAGGTGTGACTGGTTGGCCCCTAACAGTTCATATGGAATTCTGTTTGTGTGTTTCAGAGGTGTGACTGGTTGGTCCCTAAAAGTTAATATGGAATTCTGTTTGTGTGTTTCAGAGGCGTGACTGATTAGCCCCTAACAGATCATATGGAATTCTGTTTGTGTGTTTCAGAGGCGTGACTGATTGGTCCCTAACAGTTCATATGGAATTCTGTTTGTGTGTTTCAGAGGCGTGACTGGTTGGTCCCTAACAGTTCATATGGAATTCTGTTTGTGTGTTTCAGAGGCGTGACTGATTGGTCCCTAACAGATCATATGGAATTCTGTTTGTGTGTTTCAGAGGCGTGACTGATTGGTCCCTAACAGTTCATATGGAATTCTGTTTGTGTGTTTCAGAGGCGTGACTGATTGGTCCCTAACAGTTCATATGGAATTCTGTTTGTGTGTTTCAGAGGCGTGACTGATTGGTCCCTAACAGATCATATGGAATTCTGTTTGTGTGTTTCAGAGGCGTGACTGATTGGTCCCTAACAGTTCATATGGAATTCTGTTTGTGTGTTTCAGAGGTGTGACTGGTTGGTCCCTAAAAGTTCATATGGAATTCTGTTTGTGTGTTTCAGAGGTGTGACTGGTTGGTTCCTAACAGTTCATATGGAATTCTGTTTGTGTGTTTCAGAGGTGTGACTGATTGGCCCCTAACAGTTCATATGGAATTCTGTTTGTGTGTTTCAGAGGTGTGACTGATTGGTCCCTAACAGTTCATATGGAATTCTGTTTGTGTGTTTCAGAGGTGTGACTGGTTGGTCCCTAACAGTTCATATGGAATTCTGTTTGTGTGTTTCAGAGGTGTGACTGGTTGGTCCCTAACAGTTCATATGGAATTCTGTTTGTGTGTTTCAGAGGTGTGACTGGTTGGTCCCTAACAGTTCATATGGAATTCTGTTTGTGTGTTTCAGAGGTGTGACTGGTTGGTCCCTAACAGTTCATATGGAATTCTGTTTGAATGTTTCAGAGGTGTGACTGGTTGGTCCCTAACAGTTCATATGGAATTCTGTTTATGTGTTTCAGAGGCGTGACTGATTGGTCCCTAACAGTTCATATGGAATTCTGTTTGTGTGTTTCAGAGGTGTGACTGGTTGGTCCCTAACAGTTCATATGGAATTCTGTTTGTGTGTTTCAGAGGCGTGACTGGTTGGTCCCTAACAGTTCATATGGAATTCTGTTTGTGTGTTTCAGAGGTGTGACTGGTTGGTCTCTAACAGTTCATATGGAATTCTGTTTGTGTGTTTCAGAGGCGTGACTGGTTGGTCCCTAACAGTTTACATGGAATTCTGTTTGTGTGTTTCAGAGGCGGGACTGGTTGGTCCCTAACTGTTCATATGGAATTCTGTTTGGATGTTTCAGAGGCGTGACTGGTTGGTCCCTAACAGTTCATATGGAATTCTGTTTGGGTGTTTCAGAGATGTGACTGATTGGCCCCTAACAGTTTACATGGATACTGTTTGTGTGTTTCAGAGGTGTGACTGGTTGGCCCCTAACACTGTGTAAGGAGTCTCTAACAAGATATTAGAAGTTCTGTGTTTTTTTCAGAACTGTGACAGCTACTGTACGTGTGAGGACTCCCGCAACAATACCTTCGCCTGCGTGATAGAGCTCACAGACTCTCAGCACTACAAGTACTGCAAGATGCAGGACTCCGTGGTGAGTGTCAGTCTACGGGGAATAGTTCTCTGCACATCACAGAGGTTTAAACAAGTAATAGTTTACAGCTGTATACCCACAGTGGAACCCCGCTTATCTGGACACTGGCACTTTTCAAGGAATTGTTCTTGTGAACAAATTGCCTTATATGTTAATCACTAGTAAAATGACCAGAGTTAGCTCCCATATTCAACTCACATGTTATATATAACCTAAGGTTGATTTACACACAAATATTCTCTTTAATACAAGTTTTGCCATGTGAAAGCATAGTCTGTCAAGCAAAGCGTCCAATCACAGAAGAGGTCGGAGGTCATCCACGCCAACATGCTGTTTTGAAAGCCTGCAAAGTAGTGTCAAATTTCTCATTGACAGTTATACCTAATTAAAAATGATTAATAGCCTGTCTCTCATTTCAACTGGAATCTTTATCTCATTAAAATCAGATCTAAGTTCTCGCTGCTGCTAAACAAAGATCTGAGGACATCCCATTACGGGTCATATCAGAATGACCTTTCACAAACTTTGACCGACTATGGAAATGACTAACAAGAAGTCGACATCAGCCAATTAGAAAGCAGCTTTCTCGAGCTTTACGGAACTCGTTTCAACCTTTTTCGTTTCAACCGTTTAGCGGTAGCAAGAACTAAGATCTGATTTTAATGAGATTGACTGGAATCTTTATCTGCTTTAAACAAATGCCACCTGACCTTTTGATGTTGGCTTGTAATGACCTGCTAAACAAACATCATCGTGCATTGTGGCTGTTTGGTAAGTGGAATATAACAGTGTGCAATTGCATTGATGGTTTGTGAAACTCACTGTCCGATTTCCGGATAAATGGAGCATTTTATACAGTATTTTAATTTTATTTCATTAAAATCGTCCAGTAGGGGGGGATAAGTGGGATATATCTGTATAAATATTAGGTAGCGACTATACTTCAAAGTGTGGATATTAGGGCTGGGATGGATAACTCGGGTACCCGGGTACCCGGTTTGTGTGGGTCCTGAGTAGGACTCGGGTACCCACAGGACTACCTTAGTCATATGATATATTGTTTAAGGACAATAATAATAAAATTCCATGGTTACACAAGTACAGGTTGACTATGCTCACATTCCTTCTGAATTTTTATGTTTGAGTAAAGACAACTTCTGTCAACTTCAGTGTATGCCAATCAGATCGTTTCATACTATATCTAAATACTTTCTGTCAGGGTTCTGGTAAAACAATTCCCAATTGAACATTTTGTACCCAACCAAAGACATACACCTGGTACCCAGGTAGGGTTGGTAACCTTGGTGGGAAATTTGGACTCGTCCCAGCCCATGTAGCTAGGGTATACATATGCTTCTTATAATATCTCAACTTATTATAAAAACATTGATTCATGAAGTTTAACTAACATGCTGCAAACATAAAGCAATGGATTCGCTCCAATTTGTGATTAGAACTATCTTCCTTTGGCTGCACTGCAATAAGAGTAACCTCCCTTTGGCTATATTGTAACAAGCTCCTTCCCAGTGTGTGACACCTTGTTACACTCTCGTTGACATCTCTGCCTAAAGTGTTAAAGCGGCCCTTACAAGAATCTTGAAATACGCCCCCTTATCCCAAATGTAGTCACGTTTATACTTTTTTTTATGTTTTGGGGAATGCCATCGTTTACTTCCAATTACTATGATCGTTGAAATGAAATAGAAATTCATAGCATGGTTGTGGCCACCTATCACAGTGGGGAGCTTTGACTGGTGGCAGCGATTGTATAGAGGGCTATCGCTGTTAGGAGCTTGACATTGTAATTAGAGTGGCCCTGCTTTGGCTATATTGTAATGAGAGTGACCTCCCTTTGGCTATATTGTAATTAGTGAGTGAGTGAGTATGCTTTTAGCAATATTCCAGCAACATTATGGCAATATTATGGCGGGGGACACCAGAAATGGGCTCCACACATTGCACCCATGTTGGGTCTTCGGTGTGATGAGCGAACACTTTATCCACTTGGCTCCCAGACTGCCCCTATTGTAATTAGACTAACCTCCTTTTGCCAATATAATAATTAGAGTGACCATTTGTCAATATGAACCACAGATAACAAGGTTTCACTTTAATTGTTTTACTGTCCATGGTTTTGATGATGTTTGGGTAAAAGCATGCATATTTTGTATATTTCAGAATTTTGTTGAAATGTATGACCTTGAGAGAGACCCAGATGAGTTTATGAATCTACACAAGTCAGCTGATGCTAGCCTTCTGTCACGTCTCAGTCAAGAGCTGCAGGCACTGACTGATTGTCAGGGGAAGATGTGTCGGCAACTGCAACAGTGATGTCAGTGTGACGGAGCAGGCTGGTCATCATTTCTTTTGAAACTATGGTCAATGGTTCTATTTTTAAGTGTCCATGGGAGTGATCTCCCTTTGCCATGTTTGCCAATGTTACCAGTGACAATCTATTGCCAATGTTATTACAGTGACCTCCCTTTGTCAATGTTGTAATGACAGTGACCTCCCTTTGCCAATGTTGTAATTACAGTGACCTCCCTTTGTTAATGCTGATATGACAGTGACCTGCCTCTGTCAATGTTGTTATTACAGTGACTTCCCTTTGTCAATGTTGTAATTTCTGTGACCTCCCTTTGCCAAAAATGGAATTACAGTGACCTCCCTTTGTTAATGCTGTATTGACAGTGACCTCCCTTTGTTAATGTTGTTATTACAGTGACCTCCCTTTGTCAATGTTGTAATTTCAGTGACCTCCCTTTGTCAATGCTGTAATGACAGTGACCTGCCTTTGTCAAGGTTGTTATTACAGTGACCTCCCTTTGTTAATGTTGTAATTTCAGTGACCTCCCTTTGCCATTTACGATTTCACTTTAATGGCTTGCTGTACATGGGAATCTTCTCCCAATTGTGCTCAGTGGTGAAATGACAACATAAGGGTAGACTTGGGAGGGTATAAAACAGGGTAAAAATATGACAATTTATTATGTGAAATCCACACATGACAGTATTTGTGAATGAAGTTTATGTGTAAAAAATGTACTTATCACAAGGGGAGATTGGTCAGGTAATCACCATGTGCCTTTTATTAGCAGCCATAGTGTTACACAAGTATATTGTTGTACAGGGCTTGCTTGTATACTCAGCGTCATTACTGAAGGGTCACCTATGGTGTCACACATGATCATACAATGTATACCAACAGACCGTATCCATGGTCTAGTGGTAGAGCATCCGCCCAGGGGAAGGCCTAGGGTTTTTATCCCCTGCGGGGTTATACCAAAAGACCTTAAAAGATAGTACTTTTGGATACGCTGCCTGGCACTCTGCATTAAGGGGCTAAAACAAGGACTGGTAGGCTCGATTCAGTACATTGGATCTGAGTGGGGTATTTTCATGTTAAACTGTGGCATGGTATCAAAGTGGACTAGCACTATGAAATCAGCATTAGCCGGGACTAGTACAAGCAGACACACGTCACTGTATATGTGCAGTAATATTGGATGCAATGTTAAACCCCCTGCATTATAGCCGCAGTTGACAATGAGATTAACAGTTTAAGATGTTCATTCTGGATACAATCTGTTTAAAGTACAATGTTATATCTCTCATTATCTGAGTGACCCCTCAATAATGGCAGTGGGTATATTACCAGCAGCTTTTATTTTTTACAACTGTCTTGTCATACAGGGCTTGTTATTTTCCTGTCTTGGCTCATACTGGTTCTGTCACACATTCAGCCCATTGTCATATTGCTGGAAAACTTCATACTGTCAGACCTCAAACATTTATCTCAGGTGACAAGTAATCCACGGTGCTATAATTCTCTGTGTAGAGTGGTGTCCCTTTGTGGTATCAGAATTCATGGCATTGAACCTAACTCTCTCGCTTACTGTGGGTGTTTGCAGTAAGGGATGTGAAGGTTTAATACCGTATTCGATGTAATAAGCGCGCAGGGCACTCTCAAAATTAGGAATAGGGGGCTCTTATTAGAATGTTATTTTGGTGGAAAAAAACAGTTGAAATTTTTTTTTTGTGGTTTATGCTGACAGCCTGAAATGTTTATGTATGACAGATATATTTTTCCAGAATTTAATTGCCCATAATTAATGGTGCATATAACACATGAGTGATATTATACACGAATATATAAGTCTTGTGTACATTGATCAATCGGAAGGGGTGCTAATTGGGATTGTTCACTAGCCAATATATCAGCAAATATCGCTGTGGGTGCTTATTATGTAGAATACGGTATACACTTTTATATAATACATTGCATATCCACATAGTGAGTGAGTGACTTTGAACAATATTTCAGTTTTATAACAGCATGCACGATGTGAGAGGATTACGAGAAGTGATACATCGCCTGAATATGCGAACCAATCACTTTGTGAATCCTATTAACAAAGACATCAACACAGAATGTCTTCTTTTATCCCATCAGGGTGCAAATGCCGCTGATGATGGCCTTGGGACTATATATATGAACACCTACATTGGAGTGTATTCATGATAATAATCATATCTACCAATGACACCTCTTATCTGTGATATATTCAATATTGGAAACTTAAACATTCCTCTGATCTAACCCTGAAGATCCAGGGTAGAATGGTCTTCAGTAACCTATGCTTGACGTAAAAGGCGACTATGCTTGTCGTAGTAGGTGACTAATGGGATCGGGTGGTCAGGCTCGCTGACTTGGTTGATGCATGTCATCGTATCCCAATTGCCTGGATCGATGCTCATGATGTCAATCACTGGATGGTCTGGTCCAGACTCGATTATTTACAGACCGCCGTCATATAGCTTGGAATATTGCCGAGTGTGGTACAAACATATTTATGCTTGTTACTTTGCTTTTTATGTTACATATCCCTTTGTTTCTGATGTGTTGTTGTATTTATGTCTGCATCCATGACGTGTATCAAACTTTTAAGTAATCTGCCCTATCAGAGAGTTGCAATCCTTCTTTAACCAAGGTTTAATTAATTCCCAAATACTCCTCCATCCCAAATGTCCAAGAATCACAAACTCAAAATGCAATTCTGAAAGCACATATATCTAACTTCTATGTGTGTCTTCCCCAGCCAAGGGAGTTAACTATGTACATGCTATTGCGAGTTAAGTCACTTCTGCTTCCCTCCTATTGACCAATCAGATTCTGCCTCTCACATCACTACCATTTATTCAAACTAAAAAGGCGCCCAGTCAAGAAGTTCTGATCAATAATCAAAATCTCTATTGTTATAAAATGGGTCTTACTTCACGAAGTACATCAAATCACATGGCACCTTGATTAAAAACAAGAAAATATTTGGAAAATATCTGTTGACACTGAGTTGGTGGGACACATGTTTTGCAAATCCTGCAATCAACGAAATCTACACGTCAGTTTATGAATTGGATGTCGATTTTGTTAAACAATTTTGATTGGACCATGCATAGACTCATTATTCCAGCCAAAATATAACTTCATAATTCCAGCCTAGTTTGGCATGGGTGGAAACAGGACTTTTATAGTAAGTTAATTCCCTTGCCTCAGGAAAATGTCTATTGTGGTACCTGCTTCAAGAGATGCCATAATGCCCTGTTTTTGTTGAACTTATCCTGATATGTCATTATGACTCTTCATTTCCATTAGGAATTGGTCTGTATCACTTTAGGCTAAATACATGTTTTCTCTCAACTATTGACACTACTAACAATACATTAGACATTTTACTTTCTACTTACACCAGTATTATCCCATGGTTTTTCCTAATGAACCTGTTCATCAGCATTTATGCATTTTGGGTTTTTGATGATTTTTAGAGAACCTTCTATTCGGGAAGTGTGGTGTACTTTTTGCAGTACATGGTATTTTGTATGATAAGTGATGTAATATTCATGTACGAGGGTGGTTGAAATGTTCTGAGCCTAACTGTGATGGACTGCAGCTGCCTGGAGGGAGTTGGCTGCTAAATGGGGCGGTCGGGAAGCCTAGTGGTTAAAGCGTTCACTTGTCACGCCGAAGACCCGGGTTCGATTCCCGACATGGGTACAATATGTGAAGCCCATTTCTGGTGTCCCCCGCCGTGATATTGCGGCGTAAAACCATTCTCACTGACACTGGTTGCTAATTATTTGTGAACATGGATCCCACTGATGTAGGAGTCTTCCTCTTGGTGGTGTTTTCACACAGCGGTACCAAAGTTTGTCCATGTTCATCAACAGCAGCTAAATGCAGCTTGTAAGCATGGGACGTATTTTTTAAAAACACTGCTTTCACCCTTTGTAGTTTGGCTCAGAACCTTTTATCAACTTCTCGTAGTTTGGGAAAGTTTAAGACAATCATCTGTCTTTGATGCTGTTAACAGAATGTTAACTGTCTTAGTTGTATTATTTAAGGGCATACTACCAGTTTTAAAATAAATTTTCATCCCTACCTCATATCATTTTATAAGTCTAAAAGACAACTAGAAGTCAATCACTGTGTGTTCCCTTCTTTGTGTATTTGTTTAAATACACACGTTGTGTAGTCCTGCCATACATCCATGCTCCATATAAACAACAGCCGACAGTGACTGTAAATGCCTAGTTTGTTTCTAAGAAAAAATAATCGAAATGTTTGTGAAAAATGGTAGAAAATCTAATAATTAAGTCATTGTGGCTTTAAAGGGGTACTGATCTAACGGACTGGTTGTTGCCTTTGTTATTGTTTTTTCCCCCGTGAGTACCCGGATGATACGCAACGCAACTGAGCGTGACCAGAGACTGGGGTACCGTCTGCAAGGACAGCTTAATAAACTTGGAAGCTGGAGGCAATACTTGTTTTACGCATTTTTGAACACCGATTGGTTAACTGTGATCTATAAAGATTTCGACAAAGGGCGCATGTTAATTCATTTCTTCAGCCTAAACAAACAGACAAAAAGAACAAGGGAGCTCATCGGATGTCGTCATTTGGTAATACCCCAGATGGTTATAGTTTAATACTAAAAACAGTATCCATACAGTGAAAGCATTTTCGGATTTCCGCTTGCGTCGATAATACGATTACTACTCCCTTGTTGTCATCCACGTTTTCTCGTATAACCCTACACTTGTGTATTTGTCGTCATTCACTTGATGCTCAGTTAATGAATTTATTACAGGTACAATTAGTGGTAGCACCACTTATATTACCTGACAAAGGTTCCCATTTGGCATTTATTGTGTCTGGGGTAATTATTCAATCAAAATCCAGGTTTGAAGTGAGGTGAAATGTGTGTTATGTAATATGCACGTGGCAGCCCAGCAAGAGATGAATGATCAGTTGATTTACTTTTTTTTGTAAATCAACGGATCGTTCCTAGTCATCAAAGGATTAACAGAAAATACGTTGATTGATTAATCACTGTTATCTTGCACAGTGGATATGTCAAGAGTGAGTGTTTACATGTCTAGGTTTACTAAAACAAAAGGAATACACTCATATCATGGCGCGAAGTGCCGATGTAAAAACAACATACTTTGTTCAAAGGGTTAACTGATAATACGTTGATTGATTGATCATTGTTATCTATCACTCAATGGAATTTTTAGGAACCGTAGACGCTATGAAAATAGTTGTCACGTGGACTTTCTCAGCCGACCATTGAGACTTGACACCTATGTAAAACACCTGAAACAATCCAAGCGATCAGTTGAGAAACGAACACGGGTTATAATATCCCGAAACGATATATATCTTTTAAAATATTTGATTGTTACTGAGACACGTGACATCGAATAAGTTTCTTTGTACAGCTGCAGACGAGTGGGATATTGTTCCTCTGTGTGGATATTCACGAATACATTCCTCGAACAAGGAAGCTGCCTAAAACGTATACACATAAATTTGGTAGGTTGTAATTATGATATCTGCATTTTGTTTTCCTACATTTGAACCGATTCGTTCTTGTTTCTCTACGTCTTGGTTGGGAAATTCTTCCATGCGCGATAGACGTTGTTGTCACAGGTCTTTTCCTTTGTAAGCGTGTATATATTACCGTCAATTTGTAAAATGTGATTCTCTCAGGCAATTTATAAATATTTCAGTCATTTTGACTAAAAAATCGGTCCAGATTGATCAAGACGATCGAAAGGGCCTACAGACATCACAACAGATTATTATGTAGGATTAAAAGCCAAACAACTTAGAAATGTACTTTTCAACGTTACATTTTCAGTCTCTTGGTGATGACATTAGACATCAAAATGTTTGGAATTCGTTGTCATAATAATACAGATGGAAATGTTTTTTAGTCACTTTGTAAAATAACTGAATATTTAGACGTTTAATAAATTTGTTACACATTTGACAGTAAAAATATATACACACTATAAAAAAAGCATATGCTCAGGTGAAATATATACTTTGTGTTGCAAGTCAAAAGGGTTATAGCTAAAACGGCACCTCAGCAAAACGTCACCTGGCGAAAACGGCACCGATTGGCGAAAACGTCACCTCGCCTCAGGCGAAAACGGCTACTATTGCCTGGCGAAAACGGCACCTTATGTTTTTTTAACCTTGATAAAATAAATGATATTAAATAACATGGTCGCTTGCAAACACCAATAATTGTGAAATGTTACAACTATCTTACATTAGAATTTAGCCTCTACTCCAACTGTAATCAAACTTAGCCTATACGCAACTCAACTTATTGTGAAAACATAACATGCCTTGAAGTAAAATAAATGAAATTAAACTCACATCGACTCTTACAAACACTAATAATAGTGAAATGTTTAAACATGTTTACAGTAGAAATTAGCCCCCTACTGTCCAGGACATTTTTTGTGAGGCCAAGAGAATAAATATCCTCCTGGTAAATAGAGGTGCCGTTTTCGCCTGTCACATAGTAGGCCCTAGCCGTTTTCGCCAAATGCGGTGCCGTTTTCGCCAGAGAAATCGGTGACGTTTTGCTGAGGTGCCGTTTTAGCCTGCACCCAAGTCAAAATAGTGTAAACGAAAATCGCAAATTTACCAAGCAAGTGACTTATCAAAACTTCGTCACTATTACCGATGCTACTCAC